CAGTTCTCGGCGCGCAGGTAGCGGTATACCAGCGTCTTGAATGCCTGCATTCGGCTGCGATGGGGAGGATGCAGGAGCAGATCACAGGGCAATGCATTCCACTGTTGGAGCACACAGTGGGGAAATGATCGCTTCAGGACTAACGGGGTAGAGGCTGGCAGGCTGGCTTCCAGTTGAAACTGGTGGCCAGCATCGCTGGCATGGTCCCTCAGGGTTCGCGGGTTGGCCAACTGCTGACGGCGAGCTGGCAGAACCGCGAGAAGTTGAGGTGGGCCCGTAATTACCTGTAGCTTGTATAAACAAGCTAGGGCAGCTACTGTCCGTCTGATTGCCAGACTAGGCAGGATTGCTCCCGGACCGATGATTCCGAGGGCGCTGTGCTGGACTCGGTCCAGTCGGCTGAGGTGGCTGGATGACGCTCCAATCCAGATAAGTGGGGCGTACTCCAGCAGCGGACGAACGAATGCCTTGTACACGGTTATGCGCCCAGCCGAAGGGAGAAGATGAGCAGACTGGCGCAAAAGACCAAGTCGCTGCCTTGCCCGGGTTGCAACAGACCGGAGGTGCTCCCCAAAAGACAGCTTCTGGTCAAAGAGGACGCCTATGAGGGTGATCAAGTTTGCCTCGGGGACTTGTATTCCACCAAACATGATTGGTGGGAGGTGAAAGTCAGCTCTACGGAGCGTTGCAGTCATTGCCTGGGAATTGGTGGGCTCAAATACAATCTTCCATTTCTGGCCCCAGTTATGCAGCCGATCGATTGACAGTTGCAGTGAGTGCGCTGCACCTGCCGCGCTGCCATTCGACACTATGGAGTAAAGTGTGATGTCGTCTGCGTATGCCTCCAGCTGGGCATCATCCACAAGAACAGAGGGTGCATCATTTACGTACAGTAAAAACAGTGTCAGGCCGAGTATGCTGCCTTGGGGAACGCACGCAGTTATGGGATACTGGGTAGACGTATAGCCACCCACCAAGCATCGTAATGAATGTGATGACAGGTATGACGACAGCCATATGTGGAGTGGCTCGCGATTCCTGCATTACGTACCTTATGGAGGACACCAAAATGGGACACGCGATCAAATGCCCCAGCAATATCAACAGCGAGGATACGAGCTGCTCCATTTCGCCCGACAGCATTAACCCAGGCATGATGCAGAGCCTGCAGAGCATCAGATGTACCCAATCTTCTCCTGAAACCAAACTGGTGGGAGGTGAGGAGCTGATGGTGTTCCAGATGGTTTGTAACCTGGCTGTTCACAACAGTCTCCATCACCTTCGAGATGATGCTCAGCAACGAAACGGGGCTTAGTAGGCCATTTGACTGCTGATGGCGGGTAGGGGTGCCTTGTGCGGGGGGGGGGGGGGGGGTCAGAAGCTGGGCGAGCACAGGCCTGGTGTGGGCGTGGATGCACTGCCAGATGGTGATCAATATTTTCTGCCTGTTGAGCTCGCTGACACGGTACAGGGAGTGAGCAGTGAGCAGCGGCTGCATGGCTGTCCGGGGCGGGTTGCCATCGATACAGCGGATGGCTCTGTTTTGCGCGGTTTGCAGTCGTTTCAGTTGACCCTCTCGCATTGCAGCTGAAAAGCAGCAGGAGCCATAAAGCAGGTCGGGCATTATGACCGCCTTCACATACACCTGACGAGAGCGTCTTGATAGGCTTCGGCGTGCCCGCCACAGGCCGCCAATTTTCTTGGCAACCTTGGTGACCACATAGTTTACATGGGTGTCCCAATCTAGGCGATTGTCAAGGTGAACGCCGAGGTAGCGCGCACAAGACGCTGAAGGGAGGAGACAGTCGCCGCTTTTGACTGTTGCTTCCTGTACGTGCTGCTGGGGAGAGATAGTCAGAACCTTGAGTTGTTGTTGTTTATTTATTTTACATCGCATGTAGAACGGGCAGTTCTGCCCAATATGAATGCAAGGACAACCAGTAGAAGAGTCAGAAATGAAGAGAAAAAAAATACGAAAATGGAAGTAGCAATGAGGGGAGGCTGGGTTAAGACGAGCAGAAAAAGGGATCTCAAATTTACGAGTCGGGTCATCGTAGCATGATTCTATCGAGCCTCATCAGCAGGTTACGAAAGTCACTACATTTAACCGAAGTAAAATACGCGTAGCATGCGTTTGAATGCACGGACAGATACTATGGACTTGATACAGTCGGGCAAGCTATTCCAGAGTCGGCAGCTGGCTAGAAGCGGTCGACATGCGCCAGAAGCACTGTGGGGGAGGGGAAGGTTGCGTCCCAACTGACCTCGAGTGGTCATGCCTGTCGGCGGGCCTTGCAATACAATTCGGGACGACAACAGCTCACTGACGATTCCAGAACGGATTCGAAATGTCAGGAGTCGGAGCTTGCATTCCCCTCGTTCCAGCACTGGGCAGACACCCAGCCTGGTGTACAGGGGAAGAGTGTGGGCCAATGGGTGCTCATCCGCCACGCAACTAGGCCTGGGCGGATAATGCTAGCTATTTTTGCGGGATAATGCTAATGGCAGTGCCAGAAAAACTGTATCATAATGCTACTTATAATGCTGCTGTTCCTCTGTAATGCCAGCAATTCGCCACTAGTAAGTATGGAAAAATGGCTTGGTTTGGGCAGTATTGTGCGCGTTTCGTAGTTTTACGTAGTCGGCATGGAAAATGCTAGAAAATCATGATCATAATGCTAATTTTATGCTGCTATTGCTCCATACAATCCCTTGCAGCTAGCTGTCCAGCGAGGAAAGTTTCAAGTGGAGGCCTCTCGATCTGCTCGCTCATTCGCCTGGCATTCAGTAGCACTTCATCACCAAGGACTTAAATTCAAAACAGTTTTCACACTGCGCTTCAAGCCTTTTTCCTCGTGAACTTGCTGCAAACGTATGAGCTCTGCTGCGCATGTTCCCTTTGTGTGAGGCCCAGAAACAGCTAGTATCTCCGTACTTCGATTGGCTGGATCGATGTCGTCCAGGTTCTGCTCGCTATCGCCATCACGACTCTAACTGGAGACGATTTCTTCACCATTTTCCGCAAGCAGCAGCTAGCGCAGAAATTTCGCCATCCCTGAGTGTAGGAGATGGAATCCGTTCGATCAGCTCAAAAACTCTTCGTTGTGACTAGAGTAGAGGAGTAGCATGAATATTCTACCGGAAGCCCTTTGACTTCCCTGACTGCTGAAACCCTTCCGGAATTCCTGCCATGATCACTGCTACTTCTTCAAACAAGCGAGATTCTCTTTGGACCGGTTCCACTGCACTCGAGCGTCCACGCCACGCGACAAAACCTTTTTTTACAAAACATCAATAATGCTCGTTGCGAATCGCACACTATAATAATTATTATATTAAAAGCTACTTATATTAAATGCTAGCATTATCCGCCCAGGCCTACACGCAACGGTGGCAACGTTTATCTAGTTTGGCTATTGTGTTCCGCTGCTCAGCGGACAGTCCTGGGAGAAACGCATTCGACGCATATAGATTGTCCGGTATGACAAGTAAAGGGCAGAGTAATACAGGATCGCCTGCCGCACTGTTAGGCAGTGCCGGATCTGGCGGAGGATCCGCAGATTCCTAGCCGTGCGTCGGACGATAGTCGATAGAGGTGACTTGCGGTGACCAGCGAAGATTTTCGTCCAGAGTGCAAGTGGCTCCGAGGTAGCGAGCTGTACAAGTCCGGGCAAGAGGCGTGCCAGTGCAAGTAATGTGGAGGTCGAGGTGTGCCTGCCGGCCAGCTTTGATTGCAAGCACTTGCGTCTTTCCGGTGTTGAGGATAAGCCCTTTGGCATCGAGTAGCCTGGCGACAGCCGACACTGCTGCGGAAAGGGTGATGTTGATGGCGTGAGCGCTAGCGTGGCTCAAGTACAGTATGATGTCGTCCGCGAACATTAGGGTACGCACCGGGTCAGCTACTGATGCGACACATCTCGTATAGATCGCGAATAATATCGGACACCGCACGTGCAAGCTGTTTCCTCTGAGCGTGTACCGTTGGCAGTAGAGAGGTTAAGATGCACGTTATTTCTGACGTGACACGAAAGTTCAGCTCGCGTTATTTGCTCGCACGTCGAAAAATCAACGCGAGTGACCTGCTGCTCACGTCGAAATTTGGAGTTTTACGCCAAATTTGACGTGAAATTGCGCGTCACGTCGGAAATAACGTGCATCTTAACCTCTCTAGTAACTACACACTGGCGTCGTGCTCTGAGGTAGTCCGCAAACCAGTCCAGTGGGTGCGTAGAGTCACACCAAGTAGTTCGAAGAGATCCTGGAGCAAGGTCTGATGTTGGACCTTGTCGAAAGCTTTGCCAATATGACCACGCCGGTATGCAGGTGCTGGTCTGCGGCTTCGTAAAATTGATCCACAGCCGGCAAGACTGCGTCCTCTGTGGAGTGGTGTGCTCGGTAAGCGAATTGCTCGGCAGGAAGGTCATGTTCGGTTAGGAGCACACAGAGCCTTTTATGCGCAATCCTTTCCAGCTCCAGGATCTTTGAAACAACCGGAAGCAAAGATATAGGGCGGTAGTTTCGGCACTTTCGGGGTCTCCTGCCTTGAAAATGGGCCAATTTCAGCATCATCGGAATCTTTCCCATGGCCAGTGACGCGTTCATCAAGATAGTCAGTGACGGGGCCAGGACCCGAGCGCAGTGTCGCAACACATAGCAGGAAATAATTCCGTCGCTACCCGTGGCCTTCCTCTCGTCTACCTTCACTTCAGTAGGAGAGCAAGCACTTCTTCGCATGTGGCTTGTACGCACTACATCACTAAAATGATGTAATCATGGAATTCCGCCTTGACAGCAACCCATCCGAGCTGCACACTCATCTCTGGTTTTCGTACTCTTGGTAAAAGTATTGGTACACTGTACACTAGAGAGTAGTAGCAAGAGTACATAACCTCCGGGGGGGGGGGGGGGGGGGGTTATGTACTCTTGCCAGTAGTCAAAACAAGCATTTTGCCATTTGGACATGCATTGTGTTGTAGGTTCATGTTCGGATGCCCGGAAAATAGAATGGTTCCCCTGCAACTTGGGATTCAAATGATCAGGATTCCATCATGATTCCATCTGCATGAAATATCGCAGAAGACCGGCAGAAAGATACGGTAGAAAAGGAATGCGTGTTACATAATGAGAGTAATGCAAGAGTTAGGTCTGAATGCGGCCAATCTATGTGCATAGCAACTATTTACAGATTCAGCAAGTTAGTAACTTAGTATATACAGGAAATGACTCATGTACAAATAACTCTAGTGTACATGGTACCATATTAGTCATGCATTTCATCAATGCGCAGAATTACACTACAGTATTTACAAGGACACAGATGGCCACACATGCAACAAAGAGCAACATCTTCCGTGCATAAAATCAAATCGATGAGAGCCATACTTCACTGGAGAGCACATGGGTATGAGCATGGCAGCTGCAGCACGCAGCCTTCTTCACTGTCCAAACACTAGCTTGTTCAACGATAAACGTTACAGGGTTGGCAGCCATGCATTCCTAATCACATCATAGTGACATCACAGTGACGGGAGCATGTTGCACATTTCGAGATAACGGTATCGCGGCAAACATGGCAGCTACGTGGCCAGGTCTGTTTCATCGTCACCCCAGATGTCAGCTTTCCTCTTCGCATGGTCCCTTTTTCTCTCTGCAAATAAACACAAACCAGCAAACCAATAAGACTAGTACTCAGACTCTAACGCGTAACTTGTGCCCCACCGTTTCCTTGTTTCCATTCAACAAACTAATACCGTATGTCCGCACCTTTAAAGCCATGGTGGTCTATTCGATTACAAAGCCAGTCTCAGTTATAAAGCCATGGGCTTCATAAAAGAAATGACATTTGAAGTAATAATAATAGTACCCGACTGCGCTTGGGAGCTGACATGAGTGAGGCAATACCGATCCGGCGAGGCATATTCCAAGGTGACTCGTTATCCCCTCTGCTCTTCTGTCTAGGATTGAATCCAATATCAGGTGAACTCAAGAGAAGTGGCTTTGGATATGCGCGCGGACTTCAGCGGACAACAACCATATCCCACCCATGGTACATGGATGAAGTGAAGCTGATGGCCGCAACCAGTAAGCAGCTTGACTCAATGATTAACATTGTATCGTGCGTTGGGAAATCAATTGGAATGGAGCTTTCTCCAGCAAAGTGTGCTAGGCTTGTGTGCCCACATGGTTCTGTTGATCCGGATCAGCCAGCAACGGTCATTGTGGATCAAGCCTCCAGCATTGCCTCCTTGGCGGACGGCTCCGTGTATGCCTACCTTGGCATAAGGGAGTGTTTTGGCATGGCGGAACAGTCTGTTAAGGTGGCTACCACCAAAGAGTTCAGGAGGCGATTGCGGCTGGTGGCCCACACGTCTCTCAATGCCTGCGACCTCTCTCGTGCTATTAACTCTTATGTTATCCCAGTGCTGTCGTATGGCTTGTGCATTGTGCCATGGGCGAAGGATGCTATTGCAACCTTCGACAGGAATGTCCGAAGTGCGCTTCGCGCAGTGGGAGCACACCACCGACGATCTTCCACCATCCGCTTTCACCTGCCGAGATCCGAGGGCGGCCGAGGGATTGAATCGGTTGAGCACCTGCTGGAGAGGAAATACATCCGCCTGTCTAGGTATCTCCAGGCGCACTCTGACCTGCCGCTGATTGCTGCTCTGCATGCTCATGAAAATCTTCCACCTACAAAGTCAATCATCTCCCAGGCAGCCACGGCTATGGAGTATTTCAACATCCCGGACATCGGAGGTGCAACAACTGATGTTGTTAAGTCTGCTATAAGAACCACCACCCAAGCTTCTCTGCGGCAGAATCCCCTGCATGGTCGCTATTGGCAAAGGAGTGACGGTGTATTGGACATGCCTCTCTCATTCAACTTCTTAAAGTCTCCTACATTGCGTCCATCCACTGAGTCATCCGTATTTGCTGCTCAGGATCTGGTGGTTAATACCAGGAACTACCAGAGGTCGGGTATTGGGGACACTTCCGTGGTTGACGTGTGCCGTTTGTGCGGAGGTCCGGGGGAGACCGTTGACCATATTTTGGCATGTTGCCCCATGTTGGCACGGACGGCATACATTACTCGCCATAATCTCTTGCTGCTATTGTCCACCGGACACTCTGTCATCGCTACAAACTGGTATCTCCTGCTCCCCCGGGCCACTTGCCACACTACGTCGAGGACAGTGAAGGCCGTAAGTTAATGTGGGAAATGCCAATCCCTACAGACAGGTTGGTTGGAGCAAATCGGCCGGATCTTGTGTGGGACGATGGCAAGTCAATCCAACTTATTGATGTCAGTGTGCCACTGGATCATAGAGTAACACTAAAACATGCTGAGAAGAGAGCGAAGTACTTAGCCCTCGCAGTTGAAATTAGGCAGATTTGGCAGCGAGAGGCAGTGTCTGTCGTGCCCATCATAGTTGGTGCTCTTGGTGGCCTGACGAAGGAAGCGGCTACCTCAATTAAGCAGCTATGTGGAGAAGAGCGGCACCATCATGAACTGCAGCAGGCAGCTATCCTTGGCTCGATGGCCCTTCTAAGATCCGTTTTGGGTACTGCATAGGGCTCTTCGCTGTCCTTGGTGGTCTTCTTATGTTCTGTATGTTGCTGTATTCGCTTTAGTTTGTAATTGAAACACTGTGGTATTTCTGTGGTTATTCGTGTTTGATTTTTCTGTGGGCAGGTTGGAGGTTGTTGGAGTTGGAGATTGTGTCCAGTGATGAGCTTTGCCGGCCTGAATTTTCGCCAAGTTCTGATGCTCCCCTTTTTGCAATACTTGTCATGATACCTATGGGCTTTAATGCCTGTGATGGCACATGCGCCTCTCTCTCTCTCTCTCTCTCTCTCTCTCTCTCTCTCTCTCTCTCTCTCTCTCTCTCTCTCTCTCTCTCTCTCTCTCTCTCTCTCTCTCTCTCGCTCTCTCTCTCTCTCTCTCCCTCCCTCCCTCTCTCTCTCTCCCTCTCCCTCTCCCTCTACCTTACTTTTTCCCATATATTATTCTCTGCTGCTTACCTTTGGCTATGATAAGTCCGGTCAGTTAGTGTAACACCTCCAATTTATTTTTATTTTTTTCAGTTTGGAGTGGAATAAAGAATCATACTTCCTCCGTTAACAAAAACTTCGTGATGGATTTTGATGGATATGAAAACGCTTAGAACAGGTCAAGAACTGTTTGTATCGACTGCAAATCACTGGACGAAGTTGATTCAGCCTATGTACAGCGTCTTTACAAGAGAAACTGTTGGCGGAATGAGCAGAGAGATCAGTTTGCGTCGCTTTCGCTCGATTCATTTTCGACCTGCGTCGCTGTCGTCATCTTCTGCACGCGAGTCGCCATCTGCTGTACGCGCGTCGTCATCTCTCTTGAGTCGTTGTTCAGCTCGTGTCAGCTTTGCCTCGGCTTCTTTGATCACACACCGCTGACCTTGATGTCACCGTCGTTCAAGTAAGTTGGCTTTCAAGCTGCGTGATCCGCCTGGCGATTATTCGTTTCCACCAGGGAGTCGTGAAAAATATTTTACGACTCCCTGGTTTCATCTTCGCTCTTCAGAACTCCACGAAACGAGGAGTAAAGGCACAGCCAAACTGATTCGATTTTCTCTAGTGGATACCAGCACTGAACGGCAGCGGCTAGCAAGTCCAGTCGACTTTCTTTAGCCACGAGACTCGCATCGGACTGCAGACTTCTGAAAGAATGCATGGCCATCAGCATTCGAATCTGGGCTTTGCGCAGGTTGAACAAGAACTTGAGTTCAAAATTATTTTCATTGAGCCGTGCGATCGGAGCAGCTCCTTGTTCACTCGCTCTTTGTGGGGGCTCGCTGCTCTGCTTTATCGCTCTCTATCACTCTCCAACTTACTCAGTGCTAAAGTAGTAGAGAGGCCAAGCAGCGCAGTATTCCCATGGAGAAGTGGTATTTCAGTTTCGCTCGCCATGACTATCATCACCTATGTTTCCACAGCGCAACCATCGATTCCGCTCGGCTTGTGGTGAAAGGTCGCTTTCCTTGCATCGTACCTCTGTCAAGGCACGCCAGGGAAGGCCACGAAAGTAATTGCGACTCATTTCACGGCAGTTTGTGCCCAAATCAGCCCCTCAAAATTCCATCACGAAGTTTTTGTTAACGGAGGAAGTAATAATAACAACACAGATACGCGTAGAACACGCACAGCCGTGGCTTCGGCTCGAGAGGCCCGGCTTGCCTCTGCTGAGCAGGTCTTGGTTCAGGGTGCCGACCAGCGACGATCTGGGCCGGCCCTTGTACCCACGTTGCTGTGGAGTGAAGTACCCACTCATGGCTTGCTGCGCTGGGGTGTCCGGCGACAGTCGCAGTGCATGTCCCAGCATCCGCATACGTGCCGTGCCTTCTTGATGGTGGCTGACAGTGGCTCTTCCCGACAGCGCTGGTACAGGTCGATGTTCGATATCCTGTTCGGGAACCTTATGCCAATGAGCTGGTGTCTGTGGCATCTGTCAATCTCACTCGCCAGGGCCTTCGTCATTCCCCAGGTGGCACTGTTATAGGTTAGGCATGGCTTCACAAATGCACGGTATAATTTGATCCTCCGATTCTCGCTGATTTTTTCACGTTTGATCCACAGTGAGTACATTCTACCAAATACTGTCGAGGCAAGCTGTATCCGGTGCTCACAATCCGCTACATCCCCCCAGCAGCGATCCCAGTTGCTTGGAAGACTTCCAGACATCACTGTCGTGGGTGAGGTGGATCCATTCTGTTTTTTCTGTGTTGAGTTTCAGATGCCAGTCTGCGAATACGTGTCGATAATCGGCAGGGCCAGTTGTAACCATTGCTTGCTAGTGCTCATCAGCGTCACGTCATCAGCGTAGCCAGTTTCGTGAGGAATAGTACTGTCGGCTAGGGGTCGCTCCGGGAACTGCTGTCTGCACTGCCTCAGAGCAGCTTCCAAGTAGCAGAGAAACAATAGCAGACTCAAACCATCGCCCTGAGGAATGCCGATGGTGCTGGTGAAGCAGTCCGACGTGGCGCCCTCCAGCTTGACGACCAGGGTCGTCGAGCACAGCAGGTGGTGTATCATGCAGAGCTCATCTGGAAGGACGATACCTCTCATGACCTCGAGCAGCTTACGACGATCCACCGTATCAAAAGCTCTGCTCAGATCAAGGCCCAGGCCATTTGAAGTATGTTTTGTAAAAATGGAGGAATAAGTACCATGCTTACAAACTTACAGCCCAGCAAGAAGGGTGAACAAGTAGATTTAGATTGAAATTGATGTGTGGACTTTGATTTTTATGGCATGGAGTAGTGGGTGAGTCACTTTGCACCTAAAATATCTAGGAAAGCAGCGGTGTTTCAAATATAAGGCCATGGCTTTAAAGGCGCTGACATACGGTAATATTACTTCGAAGTATAAGACAAGCTTTGGGGCTGGGCAGCTTCCCACCATCAACACAAAAGAGAAACAGAAACTGGATGGAAAGCTCCTCTAATACACACATTACTGCATGCCAGTAGCCATTCATTTTCTAGCAATACTAAATGTGGATCTTGCTCTTACCTCTTGCATCGTGCAGCGCCTGCCTCTCCTTCTCCCGATCTTCCTTGGAAACAGGAACACGCACGCCTAGAGCACCGGAGATCAGACGGCGGGCAACTGCTGCTGTCTTCTCCGGCCGCGGGCCAAAACTCGAATTTATGAAGTCTAAGAACAAGAAGAGAGTGTGAGCATTGGACAGCATTTAGAAGGGAAGTTACGAAATTGTCTATTTCTGCCTTGCAATGCGATAATCTAAACCCCAATTGATAATACATTTTTTAATGTGGCACGCGAGAAACGTGTCACAACACCTGTGTCATGGAGATAGAGCTGAGCCTGACTTACAACTTCCGTTGATCGCACTTCTTAGTTCAACTTATTCTCCCAGAGTGCTACCACCGCCATACGCAGTGCGAAGCATTTCCCATACGCAGTGCGAAGCATTTCCCATACGAAAAACCAAGCATCAATCGGCCTAGCAGTACAACATACGGCTAAACAAGGAGCTGAATGATGAGAAGTTCCGGGATTGGGATACTACAGAGCTGCTCATTGAAATCCAGCGTTGTGAGTGACCTAGCCCCGTGCACCAACACCGTGCTGTATACTGGAACACCGTGCTGTACACTGGAACACCGTGCTGTACACTGGAACACCGTGCTTTGCCCTGGAACACCGTGCTTTGCCCTGGAACACCGTGCTGTGCACTGGAACACCGTGCTGTGCACTGAAACACCGCGCTGTACACTGGAACACCGTGCTGTGCACTGAAACACCGCGCTGTACACTGGAGGACCAGACTAACTTATTCACGAGGATAGAGATCTTTATGCAATACCACAGTACAGTCATGGCCAGGGATATTTCTTCCAATGAAGAGCAGATTACATGTACCAGGTGTAAGTACACAGCACAGTGTCCGTAGTACTATACGCACACGGTTGTGCAGCACCTAATGCTATCAGCACGGGTTATTCATGAGTGCAAATTTCACAGCCAGTATTGTATTGTATATTGACATTACAATGTACAATGTATATGTTCATCAACAGCAAGCATGGCCATCACGTTTCCACACTGAGATATTCTACGAAGTACATACCAGGTGATGCTGCTGCTTTGTCTCTGGATGCTGCACATGCCTGTGATAGTGGACGCGCTCTCACACCACATATGCCATTGACGGCAGACACCAGTACTTCTCGAGCTAGAAAACAGCAACAGCAGTGCAGTGCAAGTGGAGAGAAAGGGAGATTTAGTGACGCGCAGTTGCATCCGAAATGACCAGTCCAGCACACATGCATGCATGCAGGGACACACTCACACACATAAACGCGAGCGCGCGCGCGCGTGCACGCACACACACACACACACACACACACACACACACACACACACATGTGCATGCACGGAATTGCCTCTCATACTAAAGTGCACATAGTCAAACCACAAGATGCAGTTCCACACGCCTCAAGTAAACAATTCAACAAATGAGGAAAATCCGAGAAATAGTTTCATTTCAACCGAAACCGAAACGTAGAGCGCAATATCTCTTGGAAAGCAATTCTGTATGCAGCGTTGCTAAAGGGTTTAAAAAATCTCCGTAGGATGGAAGTTCAGTACCAGTACTCGTACGTCCGGTTTGGGCTTGAAGGATGAAGCACAGCTCTATCAACTTGAAAAATATGGGAGTTGCGGCAATTTGCTGCGCCATCTGGACCGCGAAAGCGTACATGCATATCGATCAAAAATTCCGCAAAAAAAGCATGTGCAAGCAGGAAGGAAGTGGAAAGCGCTTCGCAAAACTGAAGTAATAGTATGTGCGGGTAGTGTGGTGCAACTCATCGATTGAGAACTCCAAGTGCACTTCGACTAGCCCGCATTGAAACCCAAAGACAACCCCTCTCACTAACCATCCATCTACTCATCCAGCACAAGTGGCAAAATCCGTCCATGCCACATTGCGAGCTGTGCACGTGTGTGCGTGTTTGAGTGAAACGAATCGAAACAAGTGTGCTTAGATCGCGAGGATGTGGCGAGAGAGCACATCCATGGGGAGTCGGGCAGTAAAGATGCTTCCACAACACGAGCATTCTAGCCATGGACCTCTCGACACCTCCATATCCCTTGAAAGCAATGCTGTCAAATGTGAAGTAGAGTATGCAAAAAAACCAACTATACAGTGGAATTCACGCAGTACGCACCCGGGTAAGAAACACAGATCTACGCCACTGCGCATTCACGATTTGAGCGGGTGAGCTGCGTCTCGAGGACAGGGTTTCCCTGCCTTAGAGATACTGATTCAAATGAGAGCATGGGCTTGCAGGGCTCCTCACAAAAAAATGAGCTCGATGCGAGCAAGGAGAGAGAAATGGCTGTTGAATCTTATTTCTTGTTGTGAATAAAGCACTGGACACTTTTGCTGGGCTGCTGCGCTGGATTGGCACGCTTGATGTCGAATTTATGCTTGGCGTGTAGTTTGACTGGATTTCGAGACCGTGAAAGGATTAAAAAAATACACGCAGGGTGAATAAACCATTTCAAGAGCTTCAAAAGTCAATTCCAGTGTTGGCAAAATTCCATTTCTCAAGAGAACGCCAAAGCATATAATCACAGACAGTCCAACCTCTTCCATACCAAGGCTCACACGTAACATATACAAAGGCAATTATTTCCAAGAGAAAATGCACGTAACTGCCTCCGTGTTGAGCGTCGAGGTGCGGCTGAGGGCAGGACAGTAGCACAATCTGTATGAGATATTTTAGGGTTCACAGAGTTCTTCTTACCTGCTTGCTGTGAGGAGAAGGCAACTAAGCAATGTGTGTCGTCCACCCAGCGGAGTTGAAATTCATTCGTGTACCTGCCATCAAAACACACACAGGCCACCACCAAACCAGCCGCTTTGAAACTAAACGTTACACTATTCACTGTAGTAAAGTGGGGTTTCCCCTTTTCAACGCCCTCAACTAATGAAAACGTGATTTGGGAGACAACAGTTTTATAACCGCTATGAAGAGGACCAGCTGTGTTGCGAACATTTGTGAGGTTTGTTATACGTGAAACGTAGAGAAATCACGTAGAGAACAGGTGTCTGAGTTAGAGTCTACGGCTTCGCATGTTTTGGGTCCAGATTTCTACGCGGAGATGAGGTTCTCTACATTGTAGCTCACGCAAAGAGAATGCATAAGGATCTGCTGGGTATCGTTTGAATCAGGCAGAAAACTGCCAAATTTGTAACGGGAAATTCCCAGTGCACATTTCATGTGAAAGGAGAGCAGAACAGGTTTCCTTTACGCTACGGGAATGTGAAGATTGTCCCCGTTATTCTTCGCGTCGTGTTCTCCTAACGTAGAGTAGAACATCACTACATGTATTACTTTATTGAGTGTGTGAATAGTATGTGGACATGAAAGCTGCCTGGAAGGTGAGCAGTTGAAAATGGAATAAAAGAAATGTGGACAATAATCGTTCAAAACCGGTTTTCATTATCAGTAAGCGGGTCGTAACAAAGCTGAGTATCGACAGAGACACAATACATGTATAGTAGAATAGCAGGCAGGCATAGTGGGATGGTCTAAGACCATGATTGAGAAACAGAGGGTACCAGGTTCAAGTCCTGCTTGGAAGCGGAAGGAATTTTTCCAGCCGTGCTGCGACCCAAAGTTAATTGGGAACGCGTGGCTTGGCACGAGGGTAACACGGATGCAGCTAATGGGATTTCGGTCTTTGACCACTTGGTGGTGGGTCTGATCTACTCACCTCCCACCGTTTAGGCGCTGCATCTGCGCCTTGATCCTAGAGGGTGGTGGCGTTCCCACGGCAGATGCGGAAAACCCGGCTTCCAGCCGAGTCTCACGCGAACCGTGAAATTTATTTAATTTATATAATGCCGACTATCCAAACGTCAACTATCCCAACGATCGGTCATCCGAAATGTCTCCTTGAGCTGGGTCAAAGGGACAAAAGGAGTTTTTAGCTGATTTTCACCACCCGCAGCACCTTTCAAAAGGTGCACAAGATGTATAGCAGAAGGTTGCCATTAAAATACATCCTCATGCCATTATTTCTTAGTACTTCAAAAGAGAATGAATTGATGAAAACATGAGGGAATGAGCACGTTGTAGATTATGAGTGATGGACCACTTATCTGAACACACTCCTCATCCGAACCCCGTGGAGACTGCCTTGCGCTCAGAGGGGTGCGGATAATTGGCATCCTACTGTTGTGAAGTTTGCAATGGGAATGGTGGTGTAGGACTACCCATGGAGAAGATCTCAGATGTCCAGAAGAGTATTTAAATCTGCAACTATACTGAATTCAGGGGGGGGGGGGGACTAGCGCTGGTACTCACGATGCAGATGCCATGGCCGTGGTGATGTGCTGTGTTTTGAAACTGACGTCAAAGTCGTACACCTCCACGACATGTCCAAAGTCTACAGTCAGTGGAACACCCACAGCAGCAGACGAACACAGTCGTACGCAGGTATAAGAGATCTCAACCTGTGGAAAGCTAGCTGTTTCGACCTTGCTAGGTCTCAACAGCGCAGCTCAGAGTTACTGGTCGAGCCGATTGCAAAGAAGTCTAATGAATGGCAGCTATAAGAGATACAGATAATAATATTTTGTATTCGGACTGTTGAGCATGCCATAATATAATAAACAAATGTTATACCCCCACAGGCACAACATTAATACCCGTATGTCCTGTAATCCTGTACATTGAATGCACACAACGCAGCAGCAGCAGCAGCAGCAGCAGCAAGACAATGCCAGACAAACTACTCACCATCAGTGTCGTAGTCCGGCTCTTGGACTGCACTAGCCTCCACTAAATCACTCTTGGGAAGGTGGACATGAATGGGCTCGACACTGCCTTGCAGATCCAATGCACTCATGAGCTACGTGTATACATCCACAACATACACGCGTACACACACACACACACACACACACACACACGTCATGCACAAACGCACGTGCACAAACTGTGAAAAGAGTGAACATTGAGCACTCATCTAAGCAGCAAGATTATGCCAATCAGTGGCATTCTTTTCCAATACAATGTACTATGAGAGCAACCCGCCACCTGGACTGATAGGTGGTCATGTTGGCAGGTGGGACAGATGAGTGAGTCCTAGCTGTAAGACACATACATTGTACATACAGTGCACATCATGCAGTCAATCCACACTCATTTGACCTCCCATTGATAGCGAATTGCCCACAAAAGTAGTTGACCCGTGCGGGCCATGTGTCGCACTTGTACGCCCGGCTTCTAACACTGTATGGCCGCAGTCACACTCAACCATGCCATTTCTCTCTCCTGGCGGTAAATTAAGATAGGGCACTATGGCAATATCATAAGAACAAAAAGACAAGACAAAATTGGTCCTACAATCATCCTAATATAAGACAGCTGAGCATGCATCATGACTAACCTGTTCTACAGAAGCCGATTCCCAGTCATCTACAGGCTCAGCCGCAGGAACTACTGCCTTCACTTTGGCCTTCTTCTTTTTCTTCTTCCTAGTAATCATACAGCACACGGTGTAAATAAACTCAGTGACACACTACCAGCACAACAGTGAAAAACTAACTGGTACTCTCATACAGGCACTGTATAGGCAGGTAAAACAACGGAAAGCAGTGAAGCATAGCATGCGAGCTATATGAGCCAGTGACAGTAAAAAGTTTACATGTGCACATGGTTGGTTGGTATATTTTATTTTACTTCGTCAGAATGAACAGGCACATCACTAAGTCACCATCAATATTCCAACTTCTAACCACTAAACAAAGAGGCGAAATATCCTCAAACCAAGGACATGCTTTTTTCATCTTCTTTTTTTGCTAGTCTGCCATCTGTTGCGACAGGAACTACAAGAGTTACGGGCAGTTTTATAACAAACCAAGAACACGCATACACTTTAATCCAGACACTGCACATTTACATGTGACCTTACAGCTTACTTTTTAGTTGCAGAGGCAGCCGGCTGACATTCCGGTGATGTGCTTGCAGCATCCACACCTTCTGTGACAGATGGTTTAGCCACATCACTGGCATCAGTGCACTCAGCAGCAGGACTTGACTCCTTAGCAGCATGGACTTCTTGCTGGAGGTTTTCAGCCAACGGACTCAGTGGCTTTTCAGCAACGCTGCCGCTTGATCTCTTCTTTCCATTCCGCCGTCGTGTCTTGTGCAAACCCTCCTCTTTCAACATTTCTGCCTCTGGATGAGGCGTACATTTACTAGATCCCTTTACAGTGCACTCCGATGGTGTCTTGGTTTGTGTCATAGACGGGTGCTCTCCATCAGCGGATGCTGTAGTCTCTGTCTCAACTGAAGTGGAGGCTACGCTGATTTGCTCTTTTGCCACGTGATGTGATTCACCAGTCAATAACCCTATTGGCAGGTCAACGTCATGACAAGAAGAACCTGGTTGGAGTTCATCGCCAGCCTGCTGCTCGATTACCTCCGTTTCTGTGACTGCCGCGACTTTGTCTTCATTAGGTGATGATGAGTGAGTACTTGCATCTACGGCAGGGGTGGTAGACGCACTCTTATCAGCAATTAACTCCTTCTTCCCAATCCGCTGTTGTGGTTTGTGCAAATCTTCCTCTTTCAAAATGTCTGCCTCTGGATGAGGCGCGCACTTACTAGCTCCTTGTGCAGTGCACTCAGACGGTGTCTCGGTTTGTGTCATAGTCGGGTGCTCTTCATCAGCGGATGCTGTAGTCTCTGTCTCAACTGCAGTGGAGGCTATGCTGGTGTGCTCTGTTGCCACATGATGTGATTCACACGTTAACAGACCTGCCGGCAGGTCAACGTCATGACAAGAAGAAACTGGTTGGAGTTCATCACCAGCCTGCTGCTCGATTACCTCTGTTTCTGTGACTACCGCGACTTTGTCTTCATTAGGTGATGATGAGTGAGTACTTGCATCTAGAACAGGGGTGGTGGACACATCTTTATCAGCAATCAACTCCTTCTTTCCATTCCGCCAGCGTGTCTTGTGCAAGCCTTCCTCTTTCAACATGTCTGCCTCTGGATGAGGCGCGCACTTGCTAGCTCCCTGTGCATTGCGCTTAGACGGTGTTTTGGTTCGTTTCTTAGTCCGATGCTCTTCATCAGCGGATGCTGTAGCCTTTGCAACAACTGCAGTGGAGGCTATGCTGGTTTGCTCTTTTGCCACGTGACGTGATTGACTATTTGATAAATCTAGTGGCACATCAACATCAAGAGAACAAGCTGGTGGGGGTTCATCACCAACTTGCTGCTCAGTTACCGTTGTGTCTGCGACTACCGTTGTGTCTGCGACTACCGTTGTGTCTGCGACTACCGTTGTGTCTGCGCCTACCGTTGTGTCTGCGACATCTACATAAAGTGAGGATGATGAGTGAGCACTTGCAGTTGAGACAGGGGTGGTAGACGCATTTCTATCGGCGCTAGAGCGCGGTTTGTGCCTGCGAGTTCTTCTATCTGCGGGTGCAGCCGCTACTGGTGCTGCTGCAATGTCTGCATCTTGATCTATTGCTGTGCTACTTGACTCCTTTTTACGTCTTCTATTGTGCCTTCCATTAGGCCTTTCTCTACCTGAAGGTGACGTCGCTGATGGTGTGGTGACTTCTGGATCCTGCTGACGGTCACCGTTTCGAGTAGAGGAGTGCCGAGCAGGCGGTACATACAATGCCTGCTCAGGCCGAGACTTTGCGGGCTGTGCGGACTGTGCGCTAGACCGTCGAGCAGGTGGCACGTACACTTGAGCACCGGATCTACATGGTCGTCTTTCCCTGCGAAGAAAAGAACAAGAAGAGAGCAAACATGTCCACTCGCCATGGAGTACACTGGTATTTCCCCGAATACTAGTAGCAAAGGACAGATCGCACCCGACTCTAAATAGCACACATATTTACAGGTCCCTGTGATATTGCTTCAATGTAATCACTTGACACTCGATTGTAAGTCGCAAAACGTTCTTTGACGTTCAATTTTAGTGTAAAGGGGACGATCTATAATCACGGAAACATGGAACATTTGGCCATGCCCGCTCTCCACAGGACATGCATGTACACTGTCACATAATCAGTGGGCAGTGATAGTGGCTTGTCTTGCTTGTCTTGATTTCACCGTCTGTACACCGCTTCGGAGCACTAAGTAAGGGCCCTAGGCTTATCTTTCTCAGCCACAAAAAAAGGATGGGCGTACATGTGCACGACTCGTTTGAAACGAAAAGCAACATCAGGTATTGTCATCTGAGAAACCGCACTTGCAAGTTGCTTTTAATTAAAAGGTTACGTGTAGCTATCTCCTGTAGACCAGGTACACTGTTGTATAATCAGGTACACTGTTGTATAATTAGATCATGTGAAATCTTGTCATTGCAGATCACCTACGTGTAGACTACAGCTGCACGGTTCCTGTGTGGGATGCACATTACATGTACATGTATGTACACGTGGTAGTGAAAAGCATGCACATGCAATAGGTAATGCACAATACCTTTCATTGCCACCGCACGTGGATCCACCAATAGTCGAAGTTGCAGGACTGGTGTTGGCAGCACCGTTGTCATCTGCCATTCTGTAGTAATGCAAAAACATAGAAATGGGATGAAATGGTTCAACATGATGGGCAAACTCAATACAAATGATTGCACATGTACATGTAATGTACATGTATATGCCTATTCAATCTCTATTGTCAATCCCTACTTTCATTCCGGGATCACAATTTGAGTAAGAAAGTACACAAACAGTACACAGACACTGTCTGTGTATTCCGCTCGTTGCCTTTGGCAAATTGAGCCCTCTACGGATGATGGATGAACTTCACACGGTGAGTAAGAAGAAAGTAGGTTGCTTGCAACATTTGAGCTCGTGCTTTTCCAGCAGACTTGATTTGCTAGTTGACTGACTCATGACTACCATCCAGAGCACACGAGAAGTCCATCTAGCGTTTGACTTGGCAAACTTGCAAGAAAGCACCACTCCCTGCTCAATACACCGTGTTTCGGGGAATTCACCCCATATCAGCTGGGCTTGAGTAGGCTCAGGAAGGTTGTGCCTGAAGAGCACCACTTATAAGTTATAGTGCTCTCCAGGCACAAACATCACCAGGGATACAAACTTACAGAGCTAGAGACGCCCCGTTTCTTGTAGAGCAGGAGCCAAAGCAAACCCTGTCTGGACGGGTCTACGATCTCCTCACTCACACTATGCCAGTGAGTGGTAAACCCTACTCTAGTAAAAAAAACTTACTCCAAACGTGCTCGGATTTGTGCTCCGGCACACTTCCAGTATACTGCAGTTCGCCGTTGCACTCCGGTACCGAATGACTGAGTAGCAAGCTTACAATCGGTACAATTAGCAACTTCACTGTGTGTCAGGAACCTTAGCCTGCTTGAGAGGGCTGGAAGGAGAAGAATAGAACGGCTTTGTTCTCTGCACATGGAGCGGAAAGTAAAACAGAATCAGGCCAAATAATTGCAAGTTCAACAACAATGACTAAGTGTACAGTATAATGATCAGCAGAGGAAGTACAGGACAGTACAGAGCACAGGCAAAAGCTGAACAATGAACGAACATGCATCTGTGGCAGTCAAATAATGAGATCATCCAGTCAGCTATAGCAACCACTAGAGGTTATACGACGATATCATCGCGCCTTGGTCTTCGCTGAGGCATCGAAAACAACCCGTAATTTTGGTTGCCTCGCTGTTTTCCTTTACCACTGCATGATGTGGTAGATAGTGAATTTTGTTGTTGTGACAATCCACACCTTCCACTTCCTCAATAATGCCTTTCTTCACTTGATCATTGAGAACTTCATCGTATTTCCTGGCCATTTCCGGATCTTTGCCGAGGCCTTTCATCAGTGACTTCAGACGACCTAGTGCCGAAGGGTAGGTGTCTGGGGGTTGAACCGACTCATCTTTCCAAGGTCAATTTACTGTATACCGATCTCCATTAAACTGGATATGGGCATTGAAATGGGCCATGGCAACATCATCATCCTTTACATCTGACGGATCGGTTATCCCAATGTGCTCGAGTTCCCAGAAGGATTTGAGATCAAACGGGATTTCGGTGGGGTTGGCCTTTTCACAAGAACTAGAAATAGCATTATGATCCACTTCGTCTGAAACCGCTTTTCCAGTGGGAATCAACCCGAAGTCAGATTCCAAGAAAATCACATTGTCTGACGATTTGACCCACCCTGGTTGAATTAACTCATAATAGTAATCCACCCCAATAAGCACATCGATTGCAGTATGTTCAGTGCCAGTGATTACAGGTGCTGCCATTCGAGCATTGTTCAACATTGCAGAATGTTCAGGACTGAGTGGGATTCTTCTGGTCGGACAAGTGATCAAGTCCTTCACATTGGCCACAATTTCCTTTGATTTGCCATTTGGGAGATTCACATTGAAAGAGACCCTAGGGTAGTGCTCTAATTTACGCTCAGTATCTCCAAAGCCAGCCATGGCTACCTCATCCCATGCAGACGGTTTCAGTTCAAGCTTCTCACACAATTCAGCAGAAATGAAAGTGCGAGTAGACCCAGTATCAAACATCATATGGCCACGGGTTGCATTTCCTCCCTCAACATGGGTAAAACAGGCTTGAGCACATTGTAGTATCCCTTGCCCATTTTTCAACCATTATGTTGTCACATGTCACCATACTGGTACCCTGCCTAGTCGCATCGGGGAATTTCACTGGGCAAATACTGCGGTGATGTGATCTCTTCTTGCAGTGAAAACATTGCCATGGATCTGGACATAAATCAGCATTGTGTCCCTCTTTGAAACAGATATGACACCGATTGCCGATTTTCTCTTTGCGTTCCTTCATGGTACAATATTTGGTACATTCATCCGTGAAATGTTTCCCTGAGCAAAACCAGCAATGTACTGGTTTGTTTGACTTGGTATTTCCGGCATTCACTACAAGAGCTGGATTTTCCACCTTCACGGTTGAACGAGGTTGATTTTGAACCATTGTGTGCGTGAGCGTCAATTGAGCTTGTTGTGCGTGCTGTACGCTGTTTAGAGTGATCCTACTCCGATCTCACTGTGTTCCCCCCCACATTTGATCAGCTGCCTCGCGTGCAATGATGTATGCCGAGAGCGCATCTCGCAGGCTTTTCACACTCCATGCATTTGATGATTTTCCAATTTCTAGTTGCACCAGCACAGATTTTGGTAGTTTGGATGTTATCAATGGAACAAGCCTGTTGTACATTCTTGCCAGCTGCTTCAAGACTTCGAACATGCGTTTCAACATCATTATAGAAAGTCCGAAGTACGTTTGCATTATTGTTTGCGATTTTATCCTTTTTTGGGCACAGCCTGCTCACTTTTAGGCATGCGTGGTCCTTTTTTATGTCAGTTAGTTTTGAAGGTTGCTCTTGAAGTACTCTCAGGGATTATTTTGTCTTCGAGAAAGGACAAAGGTTTAGAAGAATGCAATCTCATGGAAAGTTTATGGTGTGTCCCTTTAGAGTTGAGAATGCATGCAACCAGTAAGATGATCCTTTTATGTCGATTGACGACAAGGAGTGGCAGAGGCACATGACATGGACTGGTTTGCCAATCAATACAAAGCATAAACATTTTACTACAATATCATTTGCATAACCTCTATGCACAGCTTGCACGGATACATGACAGCTACATGTATCCTTACACGACCATAACAATGTATCGAAATACCTGTACATTTACTAGAACTGCATTATGAATCTTTTTAAAGAAACGTAAGTATCTCCCTTTCCCTTTGAACCCAAACAAACAATGGAGATCGAAAGTTCAACACATCTGCTGTCAACATGTGCACTGGAAAGGCCAAGCAGCCGGTTACACACAGACACACATCTAGGAAACCACGATCTACCATGAAGGGCATTCATTCACTATAATTATCTTTGTCTGGAAATGGAGGAAACACGAAGTACAATGGGATTTGCACGACTCACTTTGTGTTGGTACTGAAAACATGTAGTTCCAGACGTAACGCGAAAAGAAAGTTGTTCTCCGAAGGAGTCATAGAGCAGCTACTAATAACTCTACCATTCAATGTCCACACAAACCATTCGAAAGACGAAAGCAGAAGAATATTTCAAACGTCTGAGCTGTACGCTCCATCCACTCGCAAAAACTGAAGCATTGATGATCTGACTGCTGGAGTGCTGGTACATGGTCGACCGGTCATGTCATTATTATTACTCATGTAGATGCCATGACGTCACTGACGTGACCGTAGCGCTATATAGCTTACGTGCCAACTGTACTGCTGCATGCATGTACATGTCCAATAAAAGCAAGAGTACGAGTCAACTAATTACTTCGCCAATAACGACATTCGGCGGGGCATCAGAAAAGTGTCCTTATTCGCGAAGTGTCCTTATAACCGAAGTCCCATTTGAATGTATGTGAACCCATATTTTGTATAGTATGACATGCATATCAAAATCAAGCTCTTTTCTTGCTCTATGTCAATGTGTACTTTATTTTCATATTGCAGTTGAAAGGAACTAAAAATTCAATATGCAAGGGAAATCAATTGAAAAATATGCCTTTTTGAGCCATCTACAGGGCCAGAGACATGTACATGTGTCATGATTACTGTACAATCATGTACAACTACAATCAGTCATGTACATTGTATACATATAGGTGTGCTGGTAAATCCAACAATTTTGAAGCCAACATATAAAAGGAAGAAAAGCCCCCCCCCCCCTTTGGCTGCATTTTCTTGCATGTGTGCTATAATAATAATTATCCATCACCATACATGTAGGTTCTGGTACTTCTGCATGACAGGTACATGTACATGTATTTGACTGACAGGTACTTGAAATAGCTGTCAAAAGCCCAGAAAGTCGTTGTTCAAGCAGTGAATATGACCTCGGGGCACTAAAAGCATGTCGCTATTCGCGAATTGTCGTTATTCAGATAGTCGTTATATCCAAAGTAAAATGTATACAGTTAGATGGGACTTTGCTCTGGGCATGGAAATTCGGTCGTTATTCGCGAATTGTCGTTATATCCGCAGTCGTTATTAGCGAAGTTGACTGTACATAACCCCGGGGGGGGGGGGGGTTATGTACTCTTGATAAAGGGGGTTATGTACTCTTGATAAAAGTGTACATGACTAGCAGGGAGTCGTAAAATAGTATTTTACGACTCCCTCATCAGGCTGATGACTAGCGACTGTAGATATGTCTGACCAGAGAGTCGTCAAATACCGGTATTTGACGACTCCCTGTGTCTGACAAAACGGAAAAAAAGAAAAAAGGCCCAACCCTGCCCTGCCGGCCAGTTATGAGGGCTTACGGGGGTCGCCATGGCAAATAATAAAAATAAAATTGCGCACGTTCGGGCTCTCCGCCTTCTCCGTGAATAAGGGGCAAGTAATTTGTATGGAGGCGAAAAGCTCGCCAAGGCAAGGGCTGGAGACACACATGTACATGCATACATGCATAGCATGCAATCTCCTTCGTCAGTGCCCGGGTATCAAGCAGGGAGTAGTAAAACCAAGAGTACATACTCTTGGTAAAACACGTAACGGTATTTTACTACTCCCTGCTTTGAAGGATTCCCTCACTGATTCTCACGCAGGGATGTAATTGAGGATCCGCATACAGTGTAGATATACAGTGTACTTCGGTAGTTAGAGTTTCGTGGAATAATCCGAATTGACTTTCGTTCATTTCATTCAGCGTCCCGAGTGAGCGAAAACGGGTTGAAATGTTCTGAGCAAATACGGCTGTCATCAAGAGTACATAACCCAGGCAGTGGGGTTATGTACTCTTGCTGTCATATCACATAATGCCTTAATGGTACGATGGGTGGGTCTGCATCATGCCTTTAATGAAAGCACCGCAAATGTTTTACAACGAAATACTTGAAACGAAAGCTTTCATGAACGAGCATTTCTTCAAGAGCAGTCAAAAGCCGAGCCACACCAATCAGAAGTCTGACCAATCATTTTGAAATCCTTGTTGAATCACACCATTCGGGTAGAACCAGGTATTGTTACTTGAAGTACTAGAGCACATGTTACATGCAAAGGGGATAACACTTATAAATAATATATAAAACTAAGTTACTTTATGTGAGGAGCTTTTCCAGAGGCATTGTAGTAAAACTATGAAAATGGTGAGCCAACGGCGGACTGGAGGTCTTCAAAGCAGGTTAGTGACCAGTCCATTCGGTTTATCAGGCAACTTCAAAGTAGCTAGTGAAACTAAAAGAACAAGGAAAGACCGGGCAAAAGACGCACGCGGTGGAAGTAATGACTAGAACTAAAACACTTAAAACACTTAAAAACAAGCATCCACAGAAAGGTATTCTTACAAAAGATACAGTTGATAAGAATCCATATGAGCAGATATCAACAGAGCTCTATCACTGAGTGGGAAGAACGCAGTGGACTACTAGAATGAAAATGCTTTATCGGTAAGTCGCTCGACATGCTAACATGACCAGCTTTCTTCTATGTTGAGCTTCAGTCTGTTTTTAAATTAATTGCAGTCTGTACAAATGCAGAGCAACAAAAAAAGTACTACGTACATGTATGCAGAGACCATTGTCTGTTCACCACACTGTGAACAAGAAACTATAGTAACCCAGCCGACTGTGACCTGGGAACACTTTGCCATGGTCTGTTGCAACATGTACTCAGCGGTCATGTGCAAATTCAGCTACAGACAAGGCAAGAGCGCTGTGTATGCTGCTGTGCTGCACTGTTAGACACGCGTGGCGTTGTCCATGCTGCAGTGAAAATGACCTCAGCTTGGTCATCATGTTAACATCTTCACAGTGCGGTGAAAATGATGCACCCGTCGATAGATAAGAACCATGAACGTTGCCGAAGTAACGTGGCCGGGCAAGCAATATGTGGTGATTGTTGCTCAGAGTATGTATATGCTGCTGGTTCAGTGCAGCTGCAACTAGTAGTCGCGATTCCTCAAACATCATATACCCAAGATGATAGTCGCAATGAAAATGTAGCTTACGTGGAGGGCCGATGATGCTGTGGAGAAGGATGTTATTGGCGTGGCTATTAAACTTGTGGGGGCACTGAATATCAAGCATCGGTTCATCCAGGCCACAATCAGTGGCTGTCACTACAAGGGGGACGAGGAGTCTTTGAAGCTGAGCAAACCAGAAGGACGTGCGCCATTGTCTGTGGTGAGATCATCATGGACATCTTCCAGTGCAACCCTGTACACAAGAAATAAAGATACATGTAGGTGGAGGGAAGACAAGGGGTGACAGCATTCAAACAGAAATCTGTGACGTTAAGCTGTAGTCCAAGTGAATAGGAGTAGATTTAGTACTCCATCAAAATTACTGCCATGGCAGGGGCGTCGGAAGGTATTTTAGTGTGGTACGGTCAGCCACCTGAAGTACAATTTACTCATGGAGGGGGATGGCTGAGCCAAAAATGTTGGAAATTTAGAGCCCAAATCAGTGCATATTATTGATTCACGGGGTACTTGAGGCAAATAGTGGTACGGTCAATACCGTAGTGACCGTACCGTGTGCGACGCCCCTGCATGGGTAACACAGTGCTGTAAAAGAACTTAAAGAAGGATCGCTACAACAGTTGTTGCGGGTAGTGTTACCATGGAAATGCCATGTTCATTTGTAGCAAGAAGGAGACACGTGTGTGTGTGAGTGTGTGATCCCCGGTAGCCTAATCAGTAGGGCATTGTCCCGGAAAGACAGAGGTACTGGGTTCGCCTTCTCTTGCAACATTGGCGCCTGGCAATGGCTCAAACCCACGACCCATCGCACCCCCCCCCCCCCCCCCCCCGCGAGTAGGTACGGCGTGAGGACACAGCCTGTTCGGGCCGGGGAGCAGCGTAGCAAGAAGGAGCCACGGGTGCGTGTGATCCCCGGTAGCCTAAGCGGCAGGGCACTGTCCCGGAAAGAGAGAGGTGCTGGGTTAGAATCCTGCTTGTGGACTCTTCTTTTGCAACACATTGTACTGTAAAAGCAGAAATTTTCGGTGGTGTAATATTTTTGGTATTCTCCAAAATCGGCGGTTCGGTGGAGGGAATTTTTTTCGGTAAAACCCGTTTTCCAGGTAAGTGTACTAGTACTACATGTATACAGTACAGGTTGTACCGAAATTTTCGGTGCGTTTTATTTTCGGTAAAAATTGTCGCCACCGAAGTTACCGAAAATAAAACACCACCGAAAATTTCTGCTTTTACAGTACAGTAAAATCTGTCATTACCATGGCAATGCCATGTTCAATGCACAGTAAACCTGCCAAGGCGACCACTCCGATAAGGCGATCATCTGTTCAAGAGGACCGCTGCAACCGGGACCAAGGGATGTCATATTATTTCCAGTCAAGTGACCCTGGACAAGGAGACCACCTGTACACGGGGACATTTGTCAAGCCCCTTGAACCGTCGCCTTAGACAAAATTCACCGTATTCTTTATGGTACATATGAAATGTACCCTTGTGAGAAGTTCAGGTTCATTGTCTTCTCTCAAAGAGCGTTCCAATGTGCCCAGGCGTGTCAAAATCGGTCGCAAAGAGCCGAAATTAAAACATAGAACATAGAGATGCAAACGGAGCATTGGAACTGTGGGGAAATAGGTAGTTTCTACCTGTAAATCTGAAAAATTCCCACAATCTGTTTTGGCTCAGGTTGAAAATAAGTTACACTTTAGGAGCAAAAATGTATAGGCATAATCCCACCATTCGGTCGGGTTTGAGCCAGGTTTTGACATAGAAATGAACACAGAAGTGGCACCTCTGTCATGCTCAGATGATGTATAAGTAAGGGTCCAATAAAACGCACTGTACAGTCACTCATCCTGAACAAAAGTTATTCATTTGCCAATACCCCAGGGTTCATAACTTGAGTACCGGGAGCAGTGAAATACTGCATATTTTGAATGGAAATACGCCAGTGACAAGCCACTGTGAGCAAGGACTTACGAGTACATGTCTGCATCGTTGAGGAGTAGCTGAGAGTCAGAGTAGCTGGTCGGCTCTTGCAGCTTTGGAACAAGTATGACAGTGGGTATGCTAAGCACAATGCAGATCAGGATCAGTACGTATATAGTGTTCTGCAGGAAAGATTGGAGCAAAAGAAAATCAATCACTGGATGAATGTTTTTCTTTGTTTCTCATTTTCCCAGTAGAAGACACTGTACGTATGGTTTCAAATATCATGCTTCAGTATCACCAACACACAGTTAACTCGTGGCCCGGAAAGAGGGAAACATGAATGCAGCGAAAGGGATTTCCGGTCTCTAACCACTTTGGTGGAGGGTCTGATCTACTCACCTCCCACCACTTTAGGGGCTGCATCAGTAGTTACTTGCATCTATGCCTTGATCCCCCGATGGTGGTGGCATTCCTATGGGCGTGGAACACTCACTGTAACTAAGGGCATGTTCGATTGGTAGGATCGGGATCCTGATCCACTGGATCCGCACCCTTTCGATTGGTCGAATCCGGATCCGGATCCTTCGGATTTGGATCCGGTCAACCCACCTCGAGGAGCAGGGTTGACCGGATCCAACGGATCCAAACGTGGCCTTTGTGCGTATATGGCGGGTAAAACTCATTTTTGTACACATTGTTGTACGCACACATGGATCGAGATAGAGCTTGTTGACTTTTTGTACAACTGGCACGGCGAGTATGACTTTTTATTACTTCGTCAACATGGCAACAGTCAAGGCCCAAAAAAGTGTCCAGTTGACTCTGAAGGATCCGACGGATCTGAGATCTGGATCCCGATCCCGATCCTTACCAATCGAACATGCCCTGAGTATCCTGAAACCGTCAATTTATTTATTTATTTACTTTTTTATCACAAACACAAAGCAATAACGGTTACAAGTCAGCTGAGAAAGAATTATCATGTCATCTTACAAGTGGCAGGGAAGGTACGATATTGTAAACCGGGAAACGTCTACACCGGGTTTTAGTTCACGAGTTGCGAGCACAAACAAAGTAGGGCTCAAACAGTTAGTCAGATTAACCGGTTTCAGACCGGTTTTGAAAAGATAACAGTTATTTAAAAGGGGAAGTTAAGCCTAAAATCAAATTTTCACCAGTTGTAGTCTTCGGGGTGCTGAGTCGAATGGTCTTGGTCCGAGGAAGCTGAGACGCTGCCTTCCTCCTTTATTCCCAATCGAACTAGCGCACTTCCACCGAAACTGGGTGACTGCGCCCTACTAGATGGGGATTTGTATGCAAAATGTCACTAAAAGCGCTATTTCGTTCTTAGAAAAGCACGGATGACCGCAATTGGCCCATATGTTGTAGTCTTTCGGACGCTGAGTCGACTGGCTTTGGTCCGAAAAGGCTCCGATGCAGCGTTCGACCCTTATTCCCAATCGAACATGGTTGAACAAGCGGTCACGTGCTCCTGCGTACACCAGTCACCCGGTCACCGCGCCAGCATGCAGGCGACAACTTTCACACCAAGGTTCAACTCAAAGGTTCAAAGGCTCGACTCGAGTGACAGAAACTCGCCCAAACATGCTGTAAGTTGTAGCCTGCAGGCACGGTGACCAGGTGACTGGTGGACACAGGAGCACGTGGCCTTTTCGGACCAAAACCACTCGATTCAGCGTCCAAAAGACTACAACATATGGGCAATTGCGGTCATCCGTGCTTTTATAAGAACGACATGGCGCTTTTAGTGACATTTTGCATACAAATCCCCATCTAGTTGGGCGCATTCACCCAGTTTCGGTGGAAGTGCGCGAGTTCGATTGGGAATAAAGAAGGGAGCGTCTCAGCTTCCTCGGACCAAGACCATTCGACTCAGCACCCCGAAGACTACAACTGGTGAAAATTTGATTTTAGGCTTAAATTCGACGGGGTTCGCGCACCGGGCAGGTCAAGAACAAGGAGCCGTACAACTCCCTGGTCAAGAACCACCTTTCCGCTTCCGTGGGACGCCACCACCCCATGATCAGGCGTCAGATGCGGCTCCTAAACGGTGGGGGAGGATAAATCAGATCCACCAACCAGAGGCCAAAGGCCTCGATCCCATTTGCCACATCCATGTATTACTCATGCCAGGCCACGAGTTCCCAATTAACTGTGGGTTGCAGCACGGTTGGAAAAAATCCTTTTCTGCTTAACTTCCCCTTTAACCGTTTGTGTAAAGGTTACGCTGGTACTTGTTCGAGTTTTCAAAGTACGCATTTTACCGAGTTTTGGCAGTTTTACAACCTATCGTGTACGTACACATGCATAGATGTACACTACATGCATGAATGAGCATGCAAACATGTGCATGTACCGTAAAGTACCGTTGATCCGCCCCCCACGCCATGTCGCTTCCCAGCTGGGTTTTCGGCAGGGGGTGGGAATTAGATCAAGGCTGTCAAGTGCAGTACGATGTACAACAACGTAGAAGTTCAGACTCGATGTGCTGGATTGTGCACATTTTCATCCTCGATTTGCAAGTACAGCAGTGCATGTGTCGGTTCAACATCGTATTTTCGTTGTATACGCCGAAGTCGTTTCACAGGTAGAAAATCAACAGGGGGGCGGGAATTAGAGAGGGGCGGATCAACGGTACTTTACGGTATTAGTAGTGTATTCAGGGTTCTAGCCAGGTCAATATAGTAGGGGGCGGGCATGGGAAAAAGTTACCCCATGACCCATTTTTTCCATAGTCCAAAATTGTCTTGCCATGCAAAATGTAACATACAGGGTGAACCCCGACTTCACCCCTCACAAATGTGCCTTTATGAGCCCTCTAGTAATGACTATCGACTGTATTTTCGTTGAATGGCGTGAAAAACACAAAAATCGGAAATGAGTAGGGGGGCAGCACTTTTTCACAGGGGCGCGCGCAAACGGAGTAGGGGGGCGCTGCGCCCCCCCCCCCTTTTGGCTAGAACCCTGGTATTATAGGTGTATTTATACTAAGACCGTACAAAACTCACTACGATATTCGTATTTCCCGCTCCTTCACCATAGCAATGAGAGCCAATCAAGTATAGAAGAGCGCATGCTCCAGTGGTTCTCTAGTTCTAGTCTTCGTTCTCTTCTACTCTCTTGTCTAAACACTTTCTACCATAATATAATTATTCAATACTACAAAACCCTGTGTTCCGGACATGTGCGGGGACTTCGTTTAGCCGGGAGCTAACACTGGTGGCAGCGGTGGGATTCGAACCCACGCCTCCGGAGAGACAGGAGAAGGGTATCATCCAAGAGTCTATCAGTCCGTGGGCGTCTCCGATCGTTTTGGTCCGAAGAAGAACGGTTCCGAAGAAGAACGGTTCCTTGCGACTTTGTATAGACTATCGCAAGTTAAATGGTGTCACGAAGCCTGATGCCTATCCGATTCCTCGGGTGGATGATATGCTATATTCGCTGTCTGGCTGCATGTGGTTTTCGTCGCTCGATCTCGCATCTGGGTATTGGCAGATTGCGATGGATCTTGCAGACCAAGCCAAGACCGCGTTTACTACACCATTGGGGCTGTACGAGTTTATGGTGCTGCCGATGGGGTGCAGGAATGGTCCTGCCACCTTCCAGCGTGTCATGGAAGCTGTTCTCTGTGGCCTCTGTAAAGCTGCTGCTCAGCCTTTTTGCCGTGTCTTTTTTGATGATGTTCTCAATGCGAGCGATACATTGTCAGGCCAGGTTTTGATTTTGACGAGGGGATTTGAGCGTGTACGTTCTGCAGGTCTCCGGTTTAATTTGGAGAAATGCTCTTTTTCAGGTTGGATGTCGCGGTCCTTGGACACCGTGTGTCGGCCGACGGAATTGCTCCCGATCCGGACAAGGTTTCCGCGATTCTTGCGTGGAAGACGCCGAAGTCAGTCACGGCGGTTTGGTCTCTCTTGGGTTTCGCTGGTTATTACCGCAGATTCATCTGTGGGTTTGCGCAGCGGTCGGCCCCGCTCACTGCTCTCACCGGAAAGAATGCTTTAACTGTACATGTCCCAACAAACAATGCTGCTCAATGAAATCCGATGGCATGAATCAAGTTTGCACCCTGCACCAGTTCACATCCCATTGTTCTCTTCTCAGGTCTACGGCTGCATACCACCAGGGCTGAACAACGAAAATCACTTTCGTTGCAATCACCGTACTGCCGCGCAGTAAGGTACGGCACCTGCATACTGTCATACACTTAGCGCGTGTATACCTGAGTGTCGAGACCAATTTCCCGTACTCCGAAAAACTTGACGTTACCACTTTTGCGCAAGCTCCGAATCAACTGGTTTTCGCAGCCTTTTTCGTAGTTGCCTGATCAGTCGAACGCTACAAAACTTCGTTATGGGCAACCACTCTAAAGAGCTACTGTAGGTCCACAAATTTTCAGCCCATTCAAATTTCGGCCTCCCAGGGCTAAAACACATTTCGGCTGCAACAAAAATTTCGGCCTGTACTGCTGCTGCCTGTATACACTGTCACACTGAGCCTTGCAAAAAAAGTTTCGGCCAAATATGACCGAAAATAGCCGAAAATAAATATGCACCGAATATTTGTTGACTTTAGTACAGTCGTCCCTCTCTAATCCGGCACCTTTGCAGCGGCATTTTCTGCAGTTCATGCACGTCATGCACTGACCAAACTGATATTTTTTTTGCTCGATGGGCCTTGGCACGCCGCTTTTTTTCTTCTTTTCTTAAGCCTCTATACGGGCAATCACAGAACATGATTTCACTGGCCTGACCGCGGCAACAACTGCAAAGCAAAACAAAACAAAAAATGTAAATAAAAATAAAATGAAACTTTACAATCTGCACACAATGACAACTCCATTTTTGAGATAGTCTCTGTTGATCAGTCAGTATCCGTTACCCGTGCTAGCTACAGTCAGTTTCAAAAAGATTAGCAATCCTGGCGATCGCCCGGGGAGTTTGCCGTCTTACCGTATGCGCGCTCGAGAGCTGGCTGGAAAAACTCACTGTGAACTCGAAGAAATAATCCGCGCGAAAGCATGAAAAATGACAACTCACTCATGTTGGTACATGTACGTCTGGTTTACAACAAACGAGTTATTCCTCGATAGCCTCGTATCGATATGGAGTCAGAGACATGTCGAAAGTGTGGTAAATGTTGACGAGCGGGATGGGTCCCAATTCGTTTCGTGCCTAATTTCTTTGAGCTGCGATGCAATTTACTCTCACGATGTGACGAAAACGACATTGACACAGACTCATTCCCAAGGCCATGACTTGGCAAAGCTATCCGTGTGACTTCGACGACATTTTGAGAAAAGCAGACGCCGTGAAAGCTGATAGAAGACAGCGTTGACTCCTAAATTCAAATAAATTGGCGATCTTGAAATACTAAAATAATTCTCAAAGAGAAATCGATCGATCGATGTGCCGTTGTATTCAACAACACGTAGCTACAGCGCAATGACTTCCGTGTTCACTCACACCGTTTCAGTGTTGTGGTTGTGTTCACATGGCGTGAACCAGTCAAGTGTCAGTAAGTTCGGCAGGAAACGCGAGCTCCAACAACAACAAGTCGTTTGGCGCAGCAACCTTCTTTGGCTTGTACTTTTTGTACCAGCGTGATCACCAAAACAATGAAAAAAAAAGTTTGACTTGAAGATAGTTTGGGATTTGAACTCACAACTTCATGGTCAGCAGACAGCATTCATAACCACAAGGCCAAAAAGGAAGGGATAAATCGTGGGTTTTGATAAAAAATCGATATTGACATCCAGGGCAAATTGTAAATCATGGGAAAAGGCCGGAAACCTGGCCGAAATTCTAACTCCTTAACGGCTGGTCCAATTGTTCCGAAACCTTCACAGAACAATTTGCCGTGTCCTAACAAGCCATTCTATGTATTTTGTTGTCCAAATTTCCCTTATCTTCATACTTTTTAAGACCAAAACCTGATTGCTAATCTTTTTGAAATGGACTATAGTTGCCAACAAGGCGGGCTTCAGCAACAGGAACATCTGGAGAGGCGTCATCCATCCCCCTATGCCAGGGACTGATATACATGTAACTGTGGACTGGCACGGTATGCGATGTACAACTGCTGGATTATAAATCGAATTATGTACAGTTCGAGCGATTTGTTGCAGAAAATCGCTGCTGGAGCCAGAATTCAAGTGCCGGATTAAAGAGTAGGAAATGAACTGAAAAAATCCGTTTTGCCAGAAAGTGTGCTGGTTTGGAAGGGTTCTGGATAAACAAGTGCCGGATTAGAGAGGGACGACTGTACTCGTATGTCATAATAATAATAATTATTATTATTAGAGTACACACTAAGTGAGTTCCAATGTGCGTACACACTCATACTAGTACCTCGTTTATCTGGGCGGTCCGGGACCGGGCATTGCCCGTAACTTTGAAATGTCCATTAACTCTGAATCACATACATTTTGATGTGGAAAGGCCATAGATACGGCATGTGGTGTCACTATTCCCACAAAAAGTGACAAAAGAGCAGCAGTACTTCCACTGAAACTCCCCCAAAGGGTGCCCGGTAGACCGAAGTGCCCGTAACTTCGGGGTCCGGACAACCATGGTATGAGTGAAGATGTAATTTTAAATTCACAATCACCAGTACATGTACCAGCGCTGAATCCACACATCAGAATTCTATCAGGGGAAATAACCATCAGGGCTTTGTCGAATTATGCGAAAGGTCATAAGGCGGGTCACTCTTGATAGAACTAACCAGTCCAGATGCCGTATATCCACATGCTGTATAGACTACACCATCCCAGATGTCAGCCACTGGACGACAGTTGCCCAGCTGGTTTGAGATCTGTAGAAACCAGAAAGGAGAATATACATTCCAGCTGTGTTTGGCACGACTCGCATAAAGAACATGCAGAAAAGTCACAAGCCCGAGTGTCTAAATTCAAATTTGACTCGTGGGCTACTACCAACCCCACTCAACACTGAAGAACACACATCTTTGCGAACAGTTATGTACGAGTGAATTCGAGCCCCAACTTGCTAGAGGGACATATAATTATCCAGACATGTATCTTCAACTAAACACTTGCACGTATGTCAAACTGTTCGCATTGTCATACAGAGAGTTACGCTGTGCACTATAGACAGAGATTCTGTGCACTCTGAACTGGCCAGTACGGCCATCGAGATGGCCAGCGCTGTGTACAATGAACTTTAAATTACGCCTTGCTAACTTCGGATTATCAGCAGTAATCCGACGCGTTTCAATGTAAGCGGATTTCGGGGGACTTCTAACCAGGTGGACATGCCCAGTTCGAGGTTTGAGTTCTCCGACATTGTCGTGTGGGAATCGTATCGACTGGAATCGGTCCTGGAAGAAAGTGATGTACATGACTATACACATGACGCATGCACATATACAGACACGAAGGCACTCCTGAATACTGATGAGAGTTGTGCAGCGCTACAAAATCATCAGTATAACTTTAGTGCGGTTACTGACCATATCGATAGAGTAGTGGATGAATGTGTTAGCCCAGGAGTAAAGGTTACTGACGTAAGACTCCATCAGCTGTGAAACAACAGATTAATACAACAAAAGCAGGCTATTAGTAACGTTATAGCTAATGCACAACAACAGGCATAAATCCAACAACGTGCGCGAGAACTGCACCAAGAGATGCATGGTGGGCACATGCCCTCAGCTGGCTTGTACACTTGCAGGGCATGAATGGCTGCTTGACTCGGAGAGTGGAGGAGCAGACTATACACCAGCAAGTGGATTTCATCGGCCAGCACTGTCACATACATGCCGCATGCATTGATTGGTTGGTACGCGGAGAAGTAAAATTCACAAGCTTCATGAAAACCGTGATCGGGAGGCAGGAGGCAATCGATTCAAGTCATGTTCGGAAATGGAAGGACTTTCCCACCATGCTACAACCCACAGTGGGTTGAACTGTGTGGCAGACGGGGTTTAACTTGTGTGTGGGTGTGCGTGTGTGTGTGTGTGTGTGTACAAGCAGCTCTGAGACCTATTCCTTCGCACCCACTGCAAGCTGTCACACCTGCCGCCAGAGTTTATTAGAAGGTCACTGGTGCACAACGGCAAAGGTCTGATAGACCTGATACCAACACAGATAGGCAAGTATTAAGGCAGTGTGACCCATGACTGTACAGCACAGGCTGCATTTCAAGCACCAGCACCGTGATACTGTAAATATACAAATTTTCGGCAGATATTTAATTTCGGCTATATTCGGCACTGATGATGACGAACCCGGAGCCCAGTTTGCTCACGACAACGTTGATCTTTTCTTATTGTCAACTAACTTTGATAACTCATCGCGAAAGCAGAAAAAAATGCAAACCTCTCACGGCTGAGGTAAAAAAGAACTCCCTTTTCATTATCAGTGCAAGAACACAAATAGTAGTGAAAGAAAAACATAATACAGCAAGGCAGTCGCGGGCACTCCATATGTAGGACTCAGTGACCAGTCAAGGCCCCGTGACCAATCACGGTCCCCGTGACCAGTCAAACAGTCACAAACCCCCCATGACCAGTCACAAATTAGTTTACCAGTCCCAATGCCCCATGACCAGTCACAAATCACCATACATGTACATGTGTAAAGTACACAGTTCGTGACTGCTCGCAGGGTGCTTCGTACTGCAGGATTTGTTGTGGAAACTATAATTCCCTATGAGCGGTCACAGAATGCAGTTGTGACCACTATAATTCCATGCGAACAGTTACATGCGGAATGTACAGTTGTGACCACTCTTTCTCTGTGAGTAGTCACAGGCAGAATATAGGTATTTCTGTATTACAAGAGAGATTGGAGGCTTTGTCACAACTCTGAGTTTCACGTATTACTACGATCGTCAGGTAACTGATGGCTCCTAAACGGGCAGCCTGAACATAAGAGGGAGCAAGGTGGGAAATTCTGAGGGGTATCATAGGCGACGGGTATCATAGTGCAAGAGTCAGGTGCAGGCGTGAAGTTGCCAAGTCTTCAGACTTGGGGCTATGCAGCAGCAGTTCCAGCGTGAATGACATAGAATAGAGCTGGAGACCACACATGCCCACACCATTACACGCACATACACCCATACTCTCTCCCTTTTCTCACATACACTCACACGCGCGCGCACACACACACACACACTCATTCTCTAAATCTCTCTCTCTCACACACACGCACATATGTCATTCATTCTCTACATCACACACACACAAACACACCTGGCCTGGTGTACAGCTGCCAAATGCTTAGCCACGCCGCCCCCGAGACAGGGGGAGAGTAGAAGAGAGAGAGTTTGAGACACACACACACATCCACACACACACACACACACACACACCTGGCCTGGTGTACAGCTGCCAAATGCTTGGCCACGCCGCCCCCGAGACAGGGGGGAGTAGAAGAGAGAGTTTGAGACACACACACACACATCCACACACACACACACACACATCCACACACACACACACACACACACACACATCCACACACACACACACACACACACATCCACGCACGCACACACAAACACACACACACACACACACACATTCTCTAAATCTCACACACACACACACACATTCTCTCTCTCTCTCTCTCTCTCTCTCTCTCTCACACACACACACACACACTCTCTCTCTCACGCATGCACACACACACACACACACACACACACACACACACTCACACATGCGCGCACACTTACTCACACACACACACACACACACACACACACACACACACACACACACAAATAGGCAGCGGGACTACCAGCTAGATTCACGTGACCTTGCGGACAAAATTACGGAGGTAGAACTTGTTTTCATGACGACACTTGGACACAAGTACTTCTGTATTATTATTTTATCTCTTTTCAACCAATCCACAAGCCAAGAAGAGATGCGTAGACGGAAGAACCGTACTGTTGGTGATACTGATCGCAAACATGATTAATTCCTCCAGGCCATTGAGCACCCAATTCTAAACCTTATCTAAGCAAAGCAGCATGCCAGTTCAAGAACATCTCGTCAGACATACATATCGATACAGTCATGTCTGGTGCACTCTCACTAACAAGCAGGCATCGCAGGCTACATTCGCACCAGCAATCAAAAGAAGTTGAAGTGAGTGAATATTTCTATAAAATTAATAATTGGAAGACAAAATGAAGGTGTGGAGGATCGCCCAAAAACACTGACAAGGAGACAGTAAACGGTACACAGTACTCGTATGCATGTACTTATACACGTTATAGCAGCACAACGAGAAAGACCATGATGCATCATGTTGCATCAATAAATTTTACAGAGTTATATTGGGAGTAGAAATGAAGATGTGTTCGAAGCAGTAAACTGCGTAAGCACTACGTTGAGCCACAATATTGAAATACAGTTTCCTGCAGTCAAAACAAGACACTCACACTTCTCTGGTCTAGTTCGCCATTCTTATCGATAAACATGACTTGATTTAATTTCTTACGATGGTCCTTGAGAATGGATCTATGATGTCTTGAATAGATGTCTTCCTGAACGACTTCAACTGAGAGGCAGTTTCAGTTTCAACAAGTTTCAACAAGCTGGACATTGTTTTTCTGTGGAGTCTTCCACAAGAAAGACAGAGCTACACACACGAAGGTGCTTGATGTACTCAGTACCTTCTTGGAAATGAACATATTTTCATTTCCATCTTCATTATATTTTCGTCTCTGCATCGTCGACGATGTCCACTTCTGACTCCGTAATCTTGTCACCCATCCTCTCCAAAAACACAAATCGAGTGCTGCTTGCATGCTGGATCAGTTGAAGTCAGTCTCTGCTCTAGCAAGATCGGCATGCAAAAATTACATGACTGAAAATATTCCGAAATAGCTTTTCTGAACGACGAAGTTTGTTCTTCAAATATGATGAATAGCACAACCTACTAGCCAGAACGTCCTCTCAAAAGAGATTCTATCTGAAGCCTGCAAGATTTTCGACCACCCTTCGTTTTGGAGAGGAGCCCACACACACCAGACTCGAGCTACAAGTACAAGTAAACTACGCGGAGATCGAGAGTTGATCGAAATCTTTCTTGCTCACTTCTGAAACCTGTGAAGGAAAAAAGTATGCTGAACGCGTGAATGCCTACAGTTGAGTCGTAATATTTTGACGTGGATCCTGTGACCGTTCACAGAGAAAGTCGCGGCAGTTTGTGACTGGTCATCGGGATTCAAACTGGTGTGTGACTTTATGACTGCTCTTCGGGGATTTGTGACTGTTTGATTGGTCACGGGGATCGTGATCGGTCATCGAGACGTGACTGCTCACTGAGTCCTACACATATCTGGATCTAGTAGAGTACTTGAGGGTACGCTACAGTGAATGACAAATCTAGATATGGGACGAATCATCAAAGGGATACCGTAACAGATAGTCTAGATCTATAAAGAGAAGAGTACAAATAAGAGAACAAGCATGCACAATGGGTACACACACACACATACACTACGCTACGGAGGGGGAAGGAGCAGCAACTATTGCTATCGATAAATGTAACTACTATACACGAGCAGCGTACAAAGCTTGCAACACGGACATAATACACGCGCAATTGTTGCATAGTAGAACAATGCCCGTCACGCACCAAAAGAAGCAGAACTAAGTGCTAAATAGAGGCTCTTCTTATCAGGCACCGACCCAAAATGCCTAAATTAAAACGCCGACGAAATTTTTCACAGCATCTGTCGCACTATACCATGCCCTCTACCCCACGCCGAAAATAAATCGCCGTCGAAATGTCAAAAATCGTGAAGTGCCGAAATTTTGCAGCGCCGAAATTTTGTATATTTACAGTAGCACGGTACTGGAGCTGCTAGCCTCAATGTACATGTAATTCAAGCCTAAGCTTTGCGTAACTGCTGTCCACTCAAGCCCAAGAAATAAGAACAGCTCCCGAATGCAGGGAAAGGCGTCCCCAAAACACTTCCAATGCAAGCAAAGCAGGTCAGGCAAGATCAAAACACTTCCTGCCAGATTGAGACCAAATGGCAAGGCCAGTCTTAAAAGCCGCATACAGCACAGATGCACTCAGTTAGTTACAGTATCCATGAAATATGTAGTATCATCTGCTACCTACCTCATTCACCAACTGAGGGGCCTTGGCTTGCAATGTTTTGCTGAGGTTATCAGCCGAATCTAGAGTCTTCGGAATTTGATCCTTTTCAAGCACAAAGAGACATGTCAAGACATCATATTGCACGGTGGAAGAGCTGACAGATGAACACAAAGACAGTTAGCACATGCTAATGCTGCCATGCATTTGGTAAACAGATACATGTCACCAGTACAATCACACCAGGCATAACCTACGCAATACAAACAATTGTCAATGCTTGCATGCAGATGTTGCTACTCATTGATCCAGATACTGTAGCATTACTCACCACAGCAGAATACAGGATGTTCTTGATGACCTGAACTTCCCTGCACAGTTTCTCCTTCAAAGCAGAAAGACAGGAATAAAAACATGATCTTTGTGACTGGCCGAATGTCGTTATTCGCGAGGTTGACTGTATAACTTGTTCTATGTTGTCTACTGTGTGTGGCAAGCTGTGCACACTGTGTATTGAGCACCACCGCAGCAACAGTGCCTGCCTGTGTGTACTTCGAAGTAAACATGGGACTTTAAAAGTACACATATCAGCACTTTGATTCGGCCACTGGGATTTTAGATATGCAATAATCTGCCCATTCTCTCCTCTCTGCCGCGAGCTGTAAGAGCCCCTCGGTCTGAGAGTACTGGCATACTATCCGCAATGGCTGTTCTTTCCTGCCAGCTACCCCCAGACTGTGCACACCCATGGCTACTGACATTGTGAAAGCGATGCATTCGAAACTTGCTACATTTTGGTCTACCCAATAAAGATATTGTCTAAATTTCCGAGTTTACCTCAGGATGTCCGTATTAAGGGGCACCTCCCAAGCCATCCCGTGGCATCTACACCTTAACCATTTACCGTCCGCACTCAATGCATACAGAGAATTAAACCGTCTAAAATTTTACCAAGCCAAAATCTCAAGTCGACCGATACTGTACATATGACATGTACATGCATGCGATTTTCGAACGCCAGCATAGCAAGCTGTGTTCGTTTCAGAGGGAGGGGAGGGGATCTGAGTACGAAATGAACGGTGTTCGTTTCAGGGACGACAAAAAACCTTTAGCGACGACCCTGTCGGGGAATCTCATGCACGCACACAGAGTGCACCCGACACAACGAACACCTACTCAGTTCATATGGTTTACAAAGTTGAATGCATGATAGGATTAAAGTAACGGGAAGAGAAATAGAAAGTCGAAACTGTCTTCATGCCATTGCAATAATAATTACAACCACTGAACACCGCGTGGTTGACAGCTCTATCTGCTCAGGGGGTGCATGCATGCGTGCACAGCACACCCACACGTAATGAGTCTGAAGCACATGCCAGTACGTAATATTAGGACGTGACGTGGCAACGTGATACTAGTACAACCCCTTAGTTGAACGTTTTCACCCTGAGGAGGGGCCATGCCCGAAAATTTGGCGAGTTCAATTATTTAGTTATTTTGAAGTGACGTATTCAGCGAAGAGACCGGATTTGGACAGTTCGAGTTGAGGTATCCCTAATTAACTTTGGTTTTCCTTGGACAAGTACCATTGATTTCAGAGGAGGGATAGAGGTGTAGCGGACTACTTCAAGTACTCTAATTTCAGAAATTTTCGGTGCTCAATATTTTCGGTATGAGGGCAACAGGCCAGGTTAGGTGAACAGAAATTTTCGGTACAGAGAAGCAGTTCCCTATTGGATTATGTGTGTTAGTGTTTGTTCGGTGTATTGAAATTTTAGGTATGAAACAGACGCACCGAAAGTACCGAAAATAAAAGTACACCGAAAATTTGTGAAATTACAGTATTTGTGTAGGTGCCTTACAACTTAAAATTATAACTTATAACCCATTGACTGTCTTTGCCTTATGATTCCTGTGCAACCAAATTTGCCTGTATGAGGCCAAGTGTATCTCACTCTTTGCCACCTATGCACATATCCATAGTAGTACGGCACTTGTTCCGTCTCCTCACATTCTTTTGTATGCCTTTATGGCTCATCGCACTCTTAACATGTAGCACCTCATCACTCTGGCTGTTCTCCTCAAATACCAGATCTGCCCTCGGCTAGCTGCCCGGACCTGCACTTTCGTCAATCACAGTGTAATGTCATCAATGCTAGCCGCTGGTCAAACACCCCAGACTCATGCATGCCAGGTCAACATGTTCTCTGTCATAACAAGCATGCGAATAACAAACATGTACCCGACTGGGACCTAAACCGCGGGAGTGTTGCCGAGACCAGCGCCACACCAGCTACCAGTAGCCCAGCCCAGCAGGAGATGACAATCTAGGTGCCAGCCTAAGCCTAAACTACTGCCAAAGCTACAAGTACAAGTACATTCCTTCCAACGTCGCAATGCAATGAGGGAGAGTCATATTCGACTGCACCTACATTCTGCCTGGAATGATGATGAGGGCATAGCGCAGCATGCTGCTATTCATAAAACAAAGCAATTTCTAAGTCTGTGACACACTGCACTTATGGCGATTTGTCAACAAGATTCGACTCCAGTCGATGTCCAGTCACAGACCTATGTTTGGCAAAACATTGGTCCGGCTGCCACTGGACCTGGAGGACCTGTTTCTGCGCCCCTGCCACTGCAAATTAACACAGTCATTGGTTGTATGCCATCAAACGCACTTCACTCAAACTTACCACTTGCTCCTTAGCCTCATCGGCAAGTTTGATAAGAGCTGCCAGTTCCTGACGCACTGTCAACAGCTGAAGAGATTCCTGTTGCAATGCCAATTTCCTGCCGGTACCATTCTTCGTAGCACCATGTGCCAAGGCCTGTGCAGGGTGAAAATCAGACGAGCAGTGGCAAAACGGAATCATGAACACTTCACAAACGCACACAACACATAAACACACATACACACACATACACACACACACACACACACACACACACATGCACACACGCATCTGCACACATTCACATGGACACACACACACACACACATGGACACACACACACACACACACGCACACACATGGACACACACACACACGGACACACACATGGACACACATGCACACTTCATGCACGCACACTCAAATAAAACAAAACAAACAAACAAACAAACACGCTGGGTGGACTTTGAAATGATCCCATTTATGGGCTCGCCACACCTCAGTAAGCGGGCGAGGACAAGGTGCAGAAAAGAAGGATTGACGGTATCAAGGTATCCGTCCCGGAATCTAAATGTACTTACCCCTGCCCTCCGTGACGGTAATATCTACTACTAGTGCGGGTGGATAAATCAGAGTGGATCTGGTAACAGCATCACTAACAGTCTAACACCATTGATTACACCGTGCACTTTTGTTCGTGTGCGTGTGTTTGTGCACATGTACGTGCATGCACGTGCGTGTGTGCGTGTGTTCGTTTGTGTGTTTGTTTGTGTGTGTGTGTGTGTGTGTGCGCGCGCGCGCGCGTGTGTGTGTGAATATTGGTGATGGGGAGAGACTTACCGAGACTTCATCCATGACTAGATAAAGCCATTGCAGTGCTAATTTAGGTGAAGCTGACAACACAGGGGTGTTACACTGTGACACAGAGCAGCAAGATAGCATACAACAAGTAGAGTGGAAAGTCTTGATGTTGACAAGACACAGTTGCCTGCAGAATTGTCACGTACATGGGCTGCCGTCAGCTAAAACATGTTTATGGGGTTTTGTAAAAATTTCGAGACATTGTACTAAAACAGGTAAGCAGCTGTAAATAGTGCTGCTAAATAGAGTTCTAGCCATTCATTCACTGACGAGACCTAAATGGTCGAAACAGCACTGTATGGAGGAAATTATATTTGTCAGTTGGGACGTTTAGCAACACGAAAGTTCGATAGAAATTTTGAGTATGGGAACGACTACAGAAACAAAACTCGAAACTTAGAAAACTTGGACGCGAAGTTGCAGTCATTTGCGGAAGTTACTTTCTCTTTCTTCAGTATGCATTTGAGATCGGGGCGTAGTAAAATAATATTTTACTACGCCCCGATCTCATATTATTATAAAACTCCTCCCTGCTTGAAGAGAGAGAGAGAGAGAGAGAGAGAGAGAGAGAGAGAGAGAGAGAGAGAGAGCGAGAGCGAGAGAGCGAGAGAGAGAGAGAGAGAGAGAGAGAGAGAGAGAGAGAGAGAGAGAGAGAGAGAGAGAGAGAGAGAGAGAGAGAGAGAGAGAGAGAGAGAGAGAGAGAGAGAGGAGAGAAGATCCATACGTGCCTGACTAACCACTGTATCGAATGATTTGAAGCTGATTGACTTGAGGCCGGACGTGTTGCTGTGCAGCCTGAGCAGAGTGATCTTGTCGCTAATGGTCAAAATCTCTTGGTTCTTGATTGTGAACGCACTACTGGCCTGACTTAGATGCTTATCTACCAGGTCTCTCACCTATACACAAAAAAATGGACACACATGAGTACATTGCTTTGCAGATTTTGCTACCATCGCGCTGTACTTTCTGACACTCATCATGCTTTAGTAATAGGAGTGATCACTACAATTCCCGCACGGAAAACATGGGCCAAACCAGTTGAGCTCAAGTCGCGACACGTTTCCCGTGTGCAAAATGAAGCATAAATCAGGCTAAGTAGGACCAGGAATTTCAGCTGTGTGAAGACAAAGATGTCAGGCGACACATTTTCATAAAGAATTTTAAATAGTTGATGATCGCATGATCTTCAAGCAAACAATAGTACTAACAGTGCGTTGGGTACATGTGCCGCCTTTCTGGTAAAGGCACTTAAGCTTACCTTAGAGATGTTAAAAAGGCTGTGAATATCAACTCTGCGATCTAACCGAAGTGCGTGATAGAGAGATTCGTTCTGCTGGCAGTCCCTATTTATCAAAAAACGCAAAGACCAATGCACAGTTGTAATATACGTATTAAACAAGAACAACAAGAACAAGAACAAGAACAACAACAACAATCTCTTATTGGCCACTGGCCATCGTGAGAATAAAGATTTGAAACAACACCATTTCTTGCTATAGCTGCTTGAGTGGTATTGTACACAAACACAGCACATTCACATCCACACAATGGCATGTATACTGTATTTGCACTTAAGACACCATCGTGTACCAGGGTGTGGTCTTATATTGAATTTATAAACAACAGATGGTTTCACTCAAGGAGTATTGCTCCCAGCCAACAAATTCAACTTCACACTGATACTGGTGCCCGCATGCCGTTTCTTTTATTCGCTATTATGGTATGTTTTTGCCACAACACTTCAGAAACCAAGCACTTGCTCACATACAAGGGATTAGGGAGAAGGTCAAACGCATTTCTCCAGATCTTAGTACAGGGCGTAGGGTATGCATGTGAGTGTGTTAGTGCATACCCTACGCCAGAGTCGTGGGTACTGTATATCACCTTATTTTCGGTGTTGTAAAATTTCGGTAAAAGCCAACCCCTGACCTTTCGGTGTAAGGATAAATTCGGTATGCATGGCACCAAAAAAAACAAAAAACAAAAAAACAAAAAACCCTCTTGCACTAATATCTCCGCCAAGGCCAAAAGGCTCCACATATGCATACATGTTATCAAGAGTACATAACCATGTACTCTTGATGTTATGTATGTACAATGTACTACCGGTATACCAGTATACAAGTAAGTTACAACTACACATGTAGTTGATTTTTTTAATTTGACAGTGATTTTCATGATTTTTACATATTTTGGTATTTCGGAAAATTTAGGTGTAATGTTAAATTAGGTGATCCAGGACCAGTACCGAAGTTACCGAAATTTAAATTACACCGAAATAAAGGTGTTATACAGTATTCTGACTTACTCAAGGAGCTCTCTTATCGTCATGGGTGGACTGCCAGGAGGCATGGCATACTTTGAAAGGATGTATTCCGGGAAAACTTCTGGCACATTGTCAATGGTCTGTGCAAATCAAACAACCAACAAAGCAATAAATATTGCAGGCGCAAAAGCACAACATACCCTTGCTGCATTTACACAACTTCCACTTCAACCAGCACCACCAAAGTAAACACCTTGCAGAACACTCCTCTAGAGATTCAACCAGCTTCACATTGGATGCCTGCGACGACGGCTAACGGAATGCATCCCCACAGCTGGCCTTTGTGAATTAAAAAAAATGCTAGTCGTACTATCTTCCTTTATGTGTGCCTTCTCTGACCAGAGCGGTGACCCCTTCTGCTCGCTACAATCATACACACTCTGCAGTCAGATTTCATTCATAGTCACAAGTAACGGGTTGTGCTACATATTAGGGAGGTTTCGCTCTACGGAATTACGTATGAAAATAACGTATGAACTGCACGGAATTTTCATACGTAAAAATCAGAGCTGTTGGGTTTCGCTCTACGTGATTTCTCCACGGCTACTAAACATGCGTTGTTGCTTTGGAGACGCGTTGGCTGCATGCGCCCGCCGCATGCACCATGAACCGAAACCGCGTTTCCATTATATTTTGCACGTGGTGTACGGTGTGTGTACCTTGTGTTTGGCGCGGCTTGAATGTTGCCATGGACAAATGCGGAAAATGCGAAAAATATTTCAAAAAGTCCTACGGAGGACCCAACGTAGGAAAGAGCTTTCCTACGGAAATCCGTAGAGAGATTTACGTATGAAAGTTGCCCTCGCTCCCCGGCGCGTATGACATACGGATTTTCATACGTAATTACGTAGAGCGAAACCTCCCTATTACCTTGTTAAGGAACTCCATGGACCGTAAGGGCTGGCAAATGATGCCAGCTGTTCCTGCCACAAAGTAGACACAGCCAGCTGAGACCAGCAAAAGACACGTGGCCACTGGCAGTAGTACAACATACCTGCATCAACATGACAATGACGACAACGACGACGACGACAACAACAACAACAATTATGACATGAATAATGACAAAACATGTGCACAACACTACACACGTTATGCGATCGAGTCCACCAACTAAGCCAGATTTTGATCGCATAACGTGGGCCCACAATTGCCATGTTACAATTGCTTTCCTTGGCTCACCATCTGAGTTCTTAAGGCTATCATTTTTTATATCTATGTTTCGCGTCAGTTCAACTTCCAGAATCATATGCGAGAGGTGGAAAGAAATAAAATGTTGCAAAATAATAAAAAAGAATCATCAGAGGTGTATAGCACTGTACATACTACATAGCCTATTGACTATTGTCAATAGCTCGTGCATGGTGTACATTCGAAAGAAAAATCGTACATCAAAGCACAAAATCTGGGTTATCAGCAAGAGTAAATATTCACTTTGGACAGAGGAGGCAACCGTTGGTGCCCATGCTTCGCTGGATTATTGTACTCAGCCTTCAGCAGCGGTGCAAAGAGCTCCGAAACGACGCATCCTCTCAGCTTGAGGCGATCGATGCGGTCTGGTGTAAGCTCAAAGAATTCTGCTCGCAGATGCAGAACAAACGATCTATCAACGCTGGCCTCGAGGCCAATTCTGAATCCCAGCTTCGCCCTATGCAACCAGTCCACACTGATGACTCGCACGATCGTACACTCACTGTGCATGTTCGTTTTTTATATTTTTTTCCGAAAAAAATCAAAACGTATGCGTGCGGACGACGCGAAACATAGATATAAAAAATGATGGCCTAATACAACACGACACGCCTGTCAATAACCTGATTGCGTCCGCACAGCAATTGGAATTTCTTGATACAAGCCATTGCGACGTAACTTTCCAGGCGTCAGAAACAGAATGCCACGGAGCAAGCTATGCGTTTTTACAAGCCCAAAGTAGTACAATGCTTACATTTTGACAAAGTGTCTCTGGGAGAGATTACGAAGAGCATTGGGCAGGCGGAGGTCACACCACGGGAAACCCCTCAGTTTCCGAGTAGACAAGCATATAGGAATGGCGAGGAGAGGAAGTAGGAGGGAGGCCGTGGTGAAAACTATCACATTTCTAGGAAAGGAAAGCGCACACAAAGCACAGAAATAGCACATAATATGCGACTTACAATCGAGTATGACTTCCCATTTTAGTGAATATATTGATTCGAAACAATATGGCTCAAACCTGAAAGTGGCGTGGGACTTTCACATAATCGAGTGCGACTTATAATGGGCCATTCACACTACGCCCAAAACGTGGCGTACGTGACGTTTTCATCCGGATAGCCATGACAACATGGAACGTGGCGGGGAAAATCGTACCCCTGATACGAAAACGTAGACGACGTATCCAGACTCCTGTACCGAGTTTCGTTCTGTCGTTCCCAGCAGTTTGTGTCCAAAAGAAGCTGTACACACAGCTGTACGAGCAGCGTGTGCGTGCTTGTGTGAATGCACCTGCATGAAAACGACGTCCACCAGTACGTCGTATTCCAAAACGTGACGCATTTTGTAACGTAGTATGAATAGCCTATAACCGGGGAATACAGTAGACGTAAACGGGAGTCAATGAACGTAGTGTGATAACGGGCTAAGCCAAAGTGTAGTTGTCATCCAAGCAGAGACTGTTTCAAATTTCATCAGATTTCGAAACTCATGCTTCCTGCGAAACTACACAGGCTGGTAGGACGCACCCCTCACTGTACCCACACACTTCACACACAGAACAGTATGTAGGGAGTCCAATGCATCAAAAATTCATCAGTTTGAGGTAGGGCTGCGACGGGTAGGGGTTTGGTCAGGTAACGGGTCCGGGTATTTTTACCTGGGTAGCACGGTTCTATCGGGTATTTTTTGACACAGTTTGTACTGTGAGTGTGCACTTGTGCTACATAGAAAGTTTACAGTAGCACGCAGCCGTGCTGTTTACATGCACCGTTGCAAAAACACCGTACTCCAACTACCCGACCGGGTTCAGGATCAAATTGCTACCCCACTACCCGATCAAATTACGGGTAGCATGGGTACCCTACTACTCGTTTACACCCCTAGTTTGAGGGAATGAAAAGGGAAAGTCTAAAGAAATAATTGATTGTCATCACCAGGACTAGAACCAGGGACCTTCCCTATAGGCTAACAATGCTCTAACCGCTGAGCTATGCTGTAGTCAGTACGTAAAGGTGTATGCAAATTTGGGGTATCATCAATCACTTTAAGTTTATGAAGTCGATGTAACTGCATCGTAAAGAAAGGGTGGTTTTGTAAATTGACAACGACTCTGTTCAGTTGCAACTCGCTCAAACTCTTGGTCAAAGCGCTGATTTATTTTAAAGGGGAACTGTCACCAACAACTTTCTTTGTCTTGTCTTGTAGTTTTTTGGCTCCTGATCACGATGGTGCTATTCGTTTTTCTCTGCGATGACTGGAAGTGGGTGAAAACTTGAAAAGAAGGTGCCCAAAATTGTCCCGAAGTACCGAGTGACGTCACGCCGGACTTGACCTCCACGCGTACATTCGTCGTCAAAAACGAAGTCCAGCCCGTGTGCGGTCGATCGAGCCAACTGTTCGATGTACGGTGCACGTGTACGTGCGCCTTCTGATCTCGGACACTGATGTGTATGTTGTACACAATCAGAACGCCAAAAAGGGAGAAAAAACAAAAGTCGACACCAGTTTGTCTCACTGGTACTTCCTCTGCGAAGCTCCAGCTCTTTGTTTTGTTTGTGATTACGAAGGAGTGGAAGGGTGTTTGTTTGCTGTTAGTGTGACACACATACCTCGTACTTGTAAATGATTTCGTTGTATCGAAGGTGTGGCCCGGGCGGTGTTGGCCACGCGGCTCTGAAATGAAAGACGTCGGAGCTTGTCATCTGCGTCTTCAGCAACATCGTCAGATGAATTGCCTTCACGTAGCTACATTGCGTTCCTTTGGGGCTCGGGTTGGTGGTGTTATCGCCCGCCGGAGGTGTACTGTTCTCTGCACACGCACTCATCATCGTGTTCCTCACGCGAAGAGTTCAAAACAACGGCATACTTTCGCGCTCGCAAAGTAAAAGAGATCCTCGCGGATCGCGGAAGAAGTCAAGAAAGTGAAAGCTCGGCTGCTTTTTATTTTGATTTGGCTGTGTAGCTACACGTGGGTCTCTGCCTCTTTGGCATTCTCCTTCTGTACGACGTACTCATCTGTGGCCAAGTTCAGAAGGCACACGTGCACTGTACATCGAACAGCTAGCTCGATCGACCAGCACACGGGCTTGACTTCGTTTTTGACGACGAATGTACGCATGGAGGTCAAGTCCGGTGTGATGTCACCCTTCGGGACAATTTTGGGCACCTTCTTTTCAAGTTGTCACCCACTTCCAGTCATCACAGAGAAAAATGAACAACACCATCGTGATCAGGAGCCAAAGAACTACAAGATAAGACAAAGACAATTGTTGGTGCCCTTTAAAAAAGCTAGTTTCGGACAGCTGGCCCGAAACATTTTTGGTGCCCTTTAAAAGCTAGTTTCGGACAGCTGGCCCGAAACATTCCAACTTTGCAGGATTCAATACACCATTTTTTGAAGTACACACACATGCATGCACCCTTACATGTAGCCATGAATAGGAGAGAAATAGTGGAACATTTTCTGGACAGCTCCCCAGATTGTAGTGACAACAGACTCCCAGTGGTAGCTCTAAGCAGCAAGATAAAACACAACAGAAAAACACCAGTAGACATCAATATTTAGTACATCCCCAGACAGCACATACGAGAGTAAAGCACAGAGTCTACGTGTTGGGGTATGCAAACTACATTCCAGGGCACCAAATTGGATAGTATCTGCGAATTGTCGTTATTCGAGTTGTCCTTTCATGTCTATCCGCACAAATATGTGTGCAAACAGCAAAGTATCATGGAAATGTTGCGGGCATGAAAAATGTCGCTCTCAGCGAAATTCCGTTCTTTAAAGTGGAAGTTAAGCCTAAAATCAAATTTTCACCAGTTGTAGTCTCCGGGGTGCTGAGTCGAATGGTCTTGGTCCGAGGAAGCTGAGACGCTCCCTTCCTCCTTTATTCCCAATCGAACTCGCGCACTTCCACCGAAACTGGGTGACTGCGCCCTACTAGATGGGGATTTGTATGCAAAATGTCACTAAAAGCGCCATTTCGTTCTTATAAAAGCACGGATGACCGCGATTGGCCCATATGTTGTAGTCTTTCGGACGCTGAGTCGACTGGTTTTGGTCCGAAAAGGCTGCGAGGCAGCGTTCGGCCCTTATTCCCAATCGAACATGCTTGAACAAGCGGTCACGTGCCCCTGCGTGCCCAAGTCACCTGGTCACAGCGCCAGCAGGCGACAACTTTCACACCAAGGTTCAACTCGAGTTCAACTCGAGTGGCAGGATGACAGGACTGCACCCAAAAAAGGTCAAAACAGGCAGTAAGTTGTACCCTGCAGGCACGGTGACCAGGTGACTGGCGTACACAGGAGCACGTGACTGCTTGTTCAAGCATGTTCGATTGGGAATAATTGGGATTAAAGTAGGAAGGGAGCGTCTCAGCTTCCTCGGACCAAGGCTATTCGACTCAGCACCCCGAAGACTACAAAAGCAATTGGTTGCACACTGCAAAAGGCACTCACCTCCCAGAAGTCATCCAGTGTGCTTTCGTTACCATTTTGAATGAGAGAAAACCGATGGTGAAGTTGTGTGCGTTGGCCTGCCGCGCCATCACTATCACTAAGGGCATCATGTTCGGTAGCTTTAGAATTGGAGTCCTTTAAGACACTATTGGCACTATTACCACCCGGCATACTCCTGTTGTTCTTGCCCAGGGAATTCACGTTGCTGGGAAAAATGGCATCAACGTTACCAACCACATCTTGGTGCAGTTTGATAACCTCCTTCTTGGCCGCTGTTAACACAACAAGACGAAGAAGAGCTCATTAAAACATGACATGCCACGGGTACAGTCCTACGGAAGCAACCAGCACTAGTCAAAACAATCGACAGTCAATTCAGTTCGACTAGCATCGGCTGGCTTCAAATCCAACACAGAGTCAAGATTCTGGTATCGAGGCTCTTGATGATCTGTTGCGGATAATTCCTGGCTACAACTGAAGTAGGTGGAGCATCATTTTTGATATGCATCATGACTTTTGAAAAAAATGCAGCAATGGTTAGTGAGTACTTCAGTTAGGAAATACTTTTTTCCGTGTTCCCGGTTACATCTTATCAGGTTTTGATTGTACTTAGTTCAGACACAGCAAGTTGCCATCTACATAATATATCCCGGCACGTATTTGCATTCAGTCGTCTACTTACCTTTTAAGAACAGATCGACTTCAGTCTGAATCGTGCATGGGATACCTTGGAATTTGGGCCACACCTACCAAGGATACACAGAAAAGACGTGCACTAACAGTAAACGTCTACTGTACAAAGAAAGATATTGCTAAACGGAAATGGGATGTGCCAGCTAGGCTCAAGACTGTTCTGAGTTCGGCATACGCCCACTCCATGAAGGAACAACGCATACTATGCCGAAACCACCAGCATTGCTCTTTTACCAGGGGACAGCTTGGAATTTCAGGCAAAGGAAAGGATGGAAGGCTTGTCACAACAGACTTCTCAGCATAACCTAGTACTACTGTAGTATTGTCAAATCATGAAGCAGACTGAAGCAAACACTACTATATCATAGTAAATCAAGCAAGAACAAATAGAGATACTGTAAATCAACAAATTTTCGCTGATGAAAAACTTTCGCCGATCTCCAAAAAAACACTTTTCGCCGCCACTAAACTTTCGCCGTGGGCGTGCAAGAGCCCATAAAGCGATCGATGTTTCGCGTGCGCATGTACTACTAGTAGTATAGTGCAGTAGTACAAAGGTCCGCGTAGTTTGCAGACCCCTGTCTACTGTACGCATTTTTTACAGAGAGTTCGGCGGCATGAGTGACCCAAATAAAACTGACATTTGGTTCTGGTGACAAATTTTGACCAGCGAAATCAGCGAAATTAAGTCGCCAGCGAAAATTTGTTGATTTACAGCAAAAGAAACACATTAGCTAGAAAGACTTACTGCAGCAGCTTGTTTGCTGAGATCGGACTTGTAAACTTGTGAAGCTATTGTCGCCACGCTTGTCACATCGGGGAGCTGAAGAAGAAATGGACAGCACAGATGCAATGGTGGTACAGTCGTACACTCCTCATGGTACTCTTCAGCCAGCTAAACTGTCGAAGCGGTTACCTTCCATGTGTGTGTGTGTGTGTGTGTGTGTGTGTGTGTGTGTGTGTGTGTGTGTGTGTGTGTGTGTGTGTGTGTGTGTGTGTGTGTGTGTGTGTGTGTGTGTGTGTGTGTGTGTGTGTGTGTGTGTGTGTGTGTGTGTGTGTGTGTGTGTGTGTGTGTGTGTGTGTGTGTGTGTGTGTGTGTGTGTGTGTGTGTGTGTGTGTGTGTGTGTGTGTGTGTGTGTGTGGATGTGTGTGGATGTGTGTGGATGTGTGTGTGTGTGTGTGTGTGTGTGTGTGTGTGTGTGTGTGTGTGGTGTGTGTGTGTGTGTGCATGTATGTGTGTGCGCGCGCGTGTGTGTGCGCACGAGTGTGTGTGTGTGCGCGCGCGCGCGCGTGTGTGTGTGTGTGTGTGTGTGTGTGTGTGTGTGTGTGTGTGTGTGTGTGTGTGTGCGTGCGTGCGTGTGTGTGTGTGTGAACGCTCTGCCCCCAGCACATAGAGCAGTATTCCGGTAGCTTGTTAGTACCTTCTCACTTTCACATACATACATGTACTTGAGTAGTCGGTTCAAAACATAATTATCACGAGAACATTCTAACTCACTGGATGGAAATCTGTCACAAACGAAATGTTTGTGATGTTATCGCTGTAGCCGAAACAAGCATCCATACTGACATTGACAGCACTGCAATCAATGGCTGCAGACAAGTGCTGTACAACTGAGAGCTGCTTTTGGATACGTTTCTGGTAGCGCAACAGTGCTGTCTCAATCTCGTTGATGGAATTCAGAGCATCCACAGCACGCCGGCTCTCTAAAAATTAAGTAAGATAAACACGCGCACGGACGCACGGATGCACGCGCAAGCATGCACACACACACACACACACACACGCACAAACGCATGCGCGTGCGTGCGCACACACACACATGCGCATGCCAATTGCCGAAGCAAGGATAGCCAAGAAGCTACATTAGGCATAGCCACTTGTGCTGGGTTCACATCATTTGACAGTTTCCAAGGCTGGGGAATTGACCACTACTATTTTAGTCTGGTATTAGAAGTTAGAACACAGCAATTGGGCACAGCGGGTAGGTGGTCTAAGACCATGACGCTGAGAAACAAGAGGTACCAATTCCAGTTTAAAAGTAAGCAGATTTTTCCAACCGCGCTGTGCCTCCCAGTCAATGAAAACCTGTGGCCTGGCACAAAGATGATACGGATGCAGGAAATGGGATGTTAGCCTGTAGCCTCTGGCTGGTGGATCTGATCTATCCTCCGCCTACTTTTATGAGCTGCATCTAATGCCTGATCATAGGGCGGCGGTGCCCCACGGAAGCGGTGGGGGGTTCTTGACCTACCCTGAGCGCGAATTCATAAATCAATTTATATAATTATTATTGCAGAACTGGTGAAGCAACTAGATCATTTCAGACGCAAACAGGCACTTGATGGAACATACCATTGACAATGTTGAGCACAGCCTCAGTAACATTATTGGTGGCATTGAACACTAGCCAGGATGCTTGATTCGCCACTAAATGACCGAGCGTGTCCAGGCGACTTGTCGCAGTCCCCAATAAGAAGTTCAGCTGATCGTTCACCAAATGAGACGCCAGTGTGATGGTGTTGTTCACATACGCATTCATATTGTAGGTGGCCTTACGGATGACATCATTGCTGTGCGACTGTTCCCACTGCGTAGTGATGTTCGATGTCGACACAATCAGGAACACCACCGTTAACCTAATGCAGACCGAAGAGAAACGTACCACACAGCACAGACTAGAGTCAGAATGGAAATGCTTAAAAATACCTAGAACAGCCGGCAGTGTCAATCGTGTCGATTTCGACACTGCGTACAACAACATTTAGGCATGAAATACACAGTAGCATATGTGGCAGTTCTAAGGCAAAGTTATACTTCCAGTACTTCAAAGTGAGAGTTTGGATAACGAGGCAACAACAGTCACCTCACCACTCAACAATGCGCTATTAGCCGACCCACTCCACTGGCACGTAACCGCCATAGTGAGGACAATTCCGTTGAGATTTCCATATTGTAGACCACCCAGCCAACTGTTTCGCTCCTACAGAGCCCATCAGTGAAGGTAGTAGAATCTACATTATCTGATAATGAATGTGAGGTGCACCGTGAATGATGTTATACAGGGCAAAGTTAGCGTAATTTTGCACTTTCTAAATACAAGTGTAGTACGCCCTAAGCAATGGAGATGCTGAAGGTGATAGCAGTTCTAACAGCAACTGTGCATTGCTGGGATATGGCATGCGGGAAATGGTGCGGAAGTCGCTAATTTGTCGCTTTGTTGCTAATTTATCGTTTCTAGTCTAACACGCAGTACATGAAAAATATTATACATGTACGTGTACTGGAATTGGTCATGCACAAACACAATGAAAATTTAAAAACCTACAACTACTATACTCGTGCAAATAGCACCCTCTCTTGAATCACACTTACAGTAAGAAGCCAACAAGACCAGCTATCAAAGCTGACCGTTGGTTAGGATAGGGTCGTCTGGGAAATCGCTGTCGCGGGATGGATTTGACTTTCGTATACATGCGTATTGCCCAAACAAGGCATGTCAGGCCAAAGAAACCAAGCACCATGGACACAACAAGGTGATGACTCAGTTGCCATATCCACAACTACACAAACAGAGCAAGTAGAACAACACAAGAGGAAATAACATTGAATATGTGCCATCCTTGAATTCTACAGCTGTGCGGAAAGCAGCATGTTGCTTGGGGTAAGTACAGACACTGTACCCTGCTACCAATCCACCACATCAGACACGAGAACGAGATAGTCTTAGAGCGGTATTCTATTACCTTGTGCGTCATCTCCTTGCCTGTCATATTTCCCGCCATTGCTGCTTGAATTAGCCCTACACAACACAGACAAAAAGCCAAGTCGCATACTGCTAAGCAGCCTGCATGTGCTGGCACAACTTGCATACAAAGTTGAACTAAGAATTAGCCCCAAAGCACACATACTAAAGGTACTTCAAAGTACTTCAAACAATTCGACATGATTTTCTTGCAGCATACGCACAATCCTACACACAATCCCACACTGCTTTGGTTGAATGCAACACAAGCTCCCATTGCAATTCGAGCCCCTAGCTTAGTGCACCCATGTGTCTTCGTTGCATTTGTGGCCAGCCGCATGTGCAGCATAAAAAATCATGGTTTGTTTGAGACTCGGCTGAAGGCCGAGTTTTCTGCATCCGCAGGCGTCACACACGGTACGACCATGCAGTACGACCATGCAGTACGACCATGGTAGTACCGCTTTTCGTCCAGGATGGTAGACCCAATTCATCCAAAAAAGCAATACAAAAATGTCAAGGATCTTCGGACTTGTACAAAACTTCACAACGTGCATGACGCAAAGCGTGACATGCCTGCATGTGTATACTACACTCTACAGTGTCAGCCGTGGTCACACCTAGCACCTCACAGTCACACAGTACAGCGAGCACACCATACACCATGCGTTGTTATTGTTTGCACAAAGCGATTGAAAGGCAGTTGGTTACTATGTTGCGACTGAGGCAGAGTTGACACTTTGCCTCGTATCTGCAAGGTATTTTCAATGGCAGTAGAATTTGCAGGACCAGAGATTGCGGATAAGCCCAATCAGCCCAGGGATTGCAATTTTCCGAAGTGCAGCTATGGCGAAGCGCCTGTTCTGTGGCGCTCCAACAGAAGTCTCTCTCTCAGCAGCAGATGGGCAAAGGATGGCTTCGCAGACAGTGCAGGCTTTACAGAAGCTTCGTTCCGAGGAGGAATTTCAAACATTCTGGGCTGATGTTCTCCACCAGCAGTCTGCTGTGGATGTTAGTGAGCAGTAACTGCTGCAGCGCCGCAAAACTCCTGTTCGCCTTCAGACAGGCACCTCCAGTCCTCACTTCCCAGCTACGGTAGAGGGCCACTATCGTCTGATGCTCAATTCAGCACTGTGGCTATCAGTGGCTATCAGGTTATCAGGGACCGGTTTGACCAGCCTGGCCTGCAGCATTACCAGAACCTGGAGCAACTTCTGATGAAGGCTGCAGTTGGTTCTGTCTCCAAAGACGAGAAGGAGCATGTTGCAAAGCTTTGGAGTGATGACTTCAACATGTCTTTGCTGGAGTCGTAGCTCACTATTCTGGCATCTCACTTCACCACCAAGGAAGTGTCTCTTGCTCGTATCACAGAGTACGTACAGGCCCTGCCCAGCAAGCACTTCCTAAGTGAAGTTGTTGCTCTGCTTAGGCTAATTCTGGTTGCTCCTGCAACCAATGCCACCAGTGGGAGATCTTTCTCTACCTTGCACCGCTTGAAGACCTACCTAAGGTCCACAATGAGCCAGGAGAAGCTGAATCACTGTGCCATCCTCACCACAATGAAAGAGGAGTGTGATGCCCTTGACCTGAAGGTTATTGGCACTGACTTTGGCTCCTGCAACCAGCATCGCATTGATTTGTTTGGCTTTAAAAAATATTGTTACACAGCTTGCATCTGACTAAGGGGCCGTCCGTAAATATCGATGTTTTTTTAGAGACGATATTGGTGCTTCTCTCCCTTGACCCCCCTCCCTCCCCCCAGAAGACGCACATGTACATCTAGATCATGGAATCAATATTTTTGGATGCTCATGAAGTGCCCAGGATGTTGAGGGTCCGGTGTAGGCGTGAAAATCCCGCCGCACTCACGCAATAGCTGCATCGCCTGGGGGGAGCGAACCGGGTTGGCGCTGCAGTGCTCACAGCCATCGTGTACTGGTGTAGCCAAAGCGGCTACGCTCGGGCTTGAATTTTTTCAAATCCTTGTTCAGACAGTGAAGACTGCAAACTCTTGTGGAGTTCGTCCGTGTTTGTTCGCACTGCCTCTACGTCTTGAAAAAGGTCCTGCAGGCATCGTTCGGCCGATTTCCACAATCAATAGCTCATTCTTTTGCTCTTGAAATTCGCCATGGGCGTACAGCTTCCAATTTTTGATTTTGTTCTTGTGTCGCGAGTTTTAGCTCCGCGAACGGAAGCTGGTTTCACATTTCTTGTATAGCCATTTAGACGTCCGCGTGCAGGGATCGGCGAAACTTCAGATATTTACATCGATATTTTTCTGATGCTCGAAAAGACGCACATGGCTCAAACCCCCTCCCCCCCAGACGCACCAATATCGTCTCTAAAAAAACATCGATATTTACGGACGGCCCCTAATGTCGATGCCGTTTCTTAAAAACAGCCATACTTCCTTCATTTAAGTTATTTTCAGATCAAGTGTCTTTGCTGATGTTCTGACCTAAAAGTTTCCTGTGTATTCCGCAGACGGCTGTAACTTAGTGTCTGATCCCGAAAAAGCTAACAGTTTAGCAGACCACTTCGCACGCCAATGTCAGACTCATCACCAACAGCATGGCACTCAGCATCACACACCTTCTGCATCAACACCACCACAGCTGGAGAATTTATTTGAACTAGACGAAATTACGCCTTAACAAGTCAAGAATGAAAATCAAGCTGTTAAAAGTCAAGAAGTCGTCGGGCGGCACCATATGTCAGAGCGCCTGCAAGATAGCAGAGGGTTGCATAGCTGGTGGCACAAGGTTAAGAGATTGTGCAAGATCAATCAACCACGAACCATGATTTCTGATCTCCACGTAGGCGGTACCACTGCAAGCACTGACTCGGATAAGGGGTCGTCCGTAATTATCGAAAAATTAAAAAATCCGTCCTCGTGCAAAATTGTCTCTGACCCACCCACCCACCCACCCCCCATTTTTTCCCATTAATTTTTTGATTTTTACCGATGCCCAGCTCGAAAATACATGTAAGAACTCCTGACCCCATGTTCACTGATTGCACCTACATCAGTACATGTATGTCAAGGACTAGTAGCTAAGTAAAGTGAGCAGGAGGTCTACCCGACGGCCAGGCACGTCCTACAACTACATGAAGAGTCATGTACCGGTATAATTATACTGGTGTTTGCGATCCTACACTACGTCTACAGAACACTACATGTCGGTGCAACAAGTGTATGAAAGTCACTGAAGAAAAAAAAAAGTACGAAAAATCAAAAAATTAAATTCCGCCAGCGCTCTTGACCACCCACCCCCTTTCTGCCTGAGGACGGATTTTTTAATTTTTCGAAAAATACGGACGACCCCTAAAGCGAATATTCTCTGTCACCAATTTGCCAAGCACGCTCAAGCTGCATCACATACAGACCCAAAAAAACGCCGTTTTCATATTGCAAACCTCGACAGAGCGTTTCCTCATCCGAACACTCACCGTCGTAGAAGTCACCCATACGTTATCTAAGCTCAGCATCTATAAGTCCACCTCTGGCCGCATTTCCAACAGGATCTTGCGGGAGACCGCCGAGCTGTTAGCGCCATCGCTGACTGCCTCCTTAAACCACTGTATCACCACTCAATCTCAGCCCAAGGAATGGAAATCTGCTACAGTAATCCCAATATACAAGGGGAAAGGTAGTTGATCAGACCCCTCCAACTACAGGCCTATCTCCCTCTTGAATGGTGTAGCCAAAGCTTATGAATCTTTAGTTAGTCGCCAAGTATACTCTTTTGTAGAACGCAGTGATTTGCTATCGCCGAAGCAATATGGTGTTCGCCCACACCGAAGCACAGTAAACCAACTTTAATATGTATGTCATGCCCACTGTAACCCGTGCCTTTGATAGTCGATCCCTCTGTGATGCTGTCTTCTTGGATTTCTCCAAAGCTTTTGACCGCACGAGCCACCGCCATATAGCTGTGGGCCTATCCAGATGGTGCTCTCAAGCGTCATTAGCATGGTTCACAAATTTTCTTGTGGGTCGCTCCATGTCAGTACGAGTTGGCACAGCGCAATCACGTACTTTGCCGCTCACTGCTGGAGTGCCACAGGGCTCTCATCTTGGTCCCCTTCTGTTAAATCTCTCCATTAATTCGTTGCCTGCCATTCCCAACTCCAGTTATCTTACCCTGTTTGCTGACGACTCCAATATGGTTTGTGTGTCCGCTCCTACCATTCCTATTGCCACTCACATCAGCTCCCTACAATAGGATGTTGACAGATGCTTACAATGGTCCGAAAAAGCTGAGGCTCTGTTCAACACCACCAAGTGTGTTCATGCACCGTTTCGCAGACCCATTAGTAAAGCACTTGGTCCTAATTAGGGAGCTATCGTGATGTGTGATACGTTACTGTCTCAGCCTTCCTCACATTCACACTTGGGTATCATCCCAACCCCATTATTTAATTTTACTGTTCACATACAAAGCATTATACCAATCAATTCCGTGGCCGTGTATTTCTCTTATGCCTTATGTCCAATTTTCTAACTCATGGTACAACAAATTTACTGTATAAGGGGCCATCCGTAAATATAGATATTTATTTAGAAACGAAAACTAGTCATATAGGGGGGAGGGGGTTGAGCGCCTGTTCGTTTCTTGAAAAATATCGACGCACAGTTTGTATGTGTGGGCACGTCCAGAAAAAAAGGAAACATTATCGATTCTATGTACCGTTTGGTTCGGGAAATATAAACCATCATACAAACCTCGGCTGCGCCTCGGTTTGTTTGATGGTTTATTTTTTCACGTACAAGCGTACTAGTGGGATGTATTTAGGGTGTGTTTGGTTGGTACAACCTAGAACAGGATTCACCAGAACAGCGCGTTTGGTTGGGACTGCACTTGTTCTGGGTCGGCCAGAACATGATCTGCTTGCTCCGGCCTCGAGGCCGGAGCAGACCGAGCAATTTCACTTTTTCACAGTGAAACCTGGCGGGAACATCGGTTTTGGTCCCAAATGATCACGTGCATACGCTGTTGGGTTGGACTCGTTGTACCGTACAAAGTGACCATGGTGACCCGTACACATTTTGAAGAATGCACCAAGTTTGGCACACTTTTTCACAAAAAAATGTGCTCTGTTTCTGGAGTACCGTTTGGTTGGCATGAGGCTGCTCCATGTGCACCAGCTGTTCGATCCTGTTCTAGATCGTACCAACCAAACGCACCCTTAGTGGTGTGCACGGGTAGTCGGGTCCCCGGGTCCCCGTGCTACCCGTGAGGACCTCGGGTAGACGGGTACAGAATATTACCCTAACTCCCGAAGTCGCAGATGACATCATGAGTGCACGTGTACAAATTCATGTAATACTCCGCATGTCTACCAAGTGTGTATGGGAAGGGGTGCAGTGTGGTGTTACCATGGAAACATTACCCGATCGGGTACCCATGCTACCCGTGGAAAACTACCCGAACCCGATACCCGAAGAAAATGCTACCCGACTCATACCGTATATGTATATATTATAACAAGGAACCGAGTGTCTATAGAGATATAATACACCAGTATGAAAACCGAGGCGAAGCCGAGGTTTTTATACTGGTGTATATATCTCGATATACACGAGGTTACTTTGTTATAATATATTTATACCTCTCCATATTCACCGTGTGTGACCTCCTAATGGCTTGTTCCTCGCTGACAACTACTGCTAATTCCCCTTAGCGGTGTATATGGAGATATACACCACTAAGGGAGAGCATGCTTAAGACTGTAAGTGTATATGGAGTGAGGTATAAATAATATTATATTATAACAACGCATGGAGAGGTACAATCTCGATTATAAGCGCTGTGCTTATATTTTCCAACACCCCTCTACCCCATGCTTGTATTGGAGACTGTGCTTATATTTTTTCAACCAATATATCCATACAGAGCAAGAAGAAATACATGCTAGATATCATACATGCAGCATTGATTTCCACCAAGACCGTGCTAATAATAGAGACTGTGCTTATAACGTTTCGAAAGGTGCTCACAGTGTGCTAGTATTAGAGACTGTGCTAGTAGCGGAGACCTGTGCTTATAATAGAGAATATAATGTTGCAAAAGACGGATCCACGAGCGGGATTCGAACGCAGCACCCCTGTCTTTCCGGGACAGTGCCCTACCGACTAGGCTACCGGGGATCACACACACTCATGGGTCCTTCTTGCTACACTGCTCCCCCGCCCCAACAGGCTGTGTCCTCACGCCGTACCTACACGCGGGGGGGGGGGGGGGGGTACGATGGGCCGTGGGTTCGAGCCATTGCCAGGCGCCAATGTTGCAAAAGGAGGATCCACGAGCGGGATTCGAACCCAGCACCCGTCTTTCCGGGACAGTGCCCTACCGATTAGGCTACCGGGGATCACACACACTCATGCTACAATATGGGGTTTATATGGGGTTTATATTGAGCTGGGGTTTATGTCCAATATAAACCACCTGCATGATGGGGGATACCCCTCCCTCGGTCGTACGTAGTGAAATTGAGTGCTTTTCTTGTTGATGACTACTACTACTACTACTACTACTACTACTAGTACTGCAAGGAAGGCAAGAAACCTATCAAGTACGGATATTGACTACATTGTGCTCCAACGCGAGGAAACAACAAGCTAATGTTTGACTTACCCCATGGTGGAGAATCAGCAACAGTCAAAACCAGGGGTTCAGCGAAAGTATAGTACCAAGTTCTGTCATCATTCGTTGGTAATGGATCAAACGCATCAAGGCGAGGTTGTCCGAAGTGCATGCGCTTGCAATCCCGAGAAACCCAAGATGTTCCATCCACAAAGTGGCAGTCCTTGGTCACCACCACTCGAGGTTTAGGCAGGACACAATCCAGTTTTTGACTGGACAACGGTGTTGACAGAGTACTTAGTACAAACAAAGCGGAGATAGCAGCTCTAACCAACATGATGCCAGCACCATTACAAAGTAGCAATAACAATTACCAGGTGCTGAGATAAAAGGCTATTGGCATTGTTTAGCTGATGCTGGGGTGGTTGACCAAAACATTATTTCCTTGCTTACACCCAAGCTTTCGGCCAAGGTTTTCAGTCAACTCTTTACACTGAGCACGTGGAGATGAAACTGCGAGTACAACTATCTAACTACGGTATATAAACGTATTCAACATATCCGCTTCCGATCTATCTCTGGCCTGGCAGCTCGACCCAGCTCCCCTCGACACATCCGTAATGTGCGTCAAGCTAGCTTACGTCAAGTAATCAGGTAATAGTAAGAGTATAGTGTTAGTTGTAGTTAGCTTATGCTTGAAAACTGGTTACTTGACAGCAAAAGACACCACCAGAACAGCCATACCGGTATTAAATATTAAATTTTAGCCATGCCATAGGCCATGTGTTCACAAAGCAAAAGTTACATGTACGGTATTTATCTTCATGTTTTCGTAAAAGGATTGGTCAATCCAAAAAATGTTTACGAAGTAGTAATAGATCTCTCCCGGTACCGGTAGACACCATGACACTGTCACGGATCCGCGGAGTAGTCTTGTACTTGTAGAGATACGTACATGAAGCGTAGATCTACAGAATGGCCATAGGTCTACGTCTAGTCTACTCATTATGGTAGAGACTCTAGAGCCTAGGGTGTAAAAAATAGAATTTTACAACACTTACACTACACTCTACCAAGCATGCTGCTGCATTGGTGGTGGCTATACAGCTCTCAGAGATAAACCACAAAAGGAAAATAACAAGAGTACATAAACCAGACAGCAGCAGGGTGTCACCAGAGCCTGTCACCAAAGACTTAAGTGTCACATCTGATATGATACCCGAGTCCCGTCCGCCGCAGCTAGCCGCGCTATGGCAGCACTTGGAATGTGCAGGCAGTCCTGGATCGGCACGGTTCCGGAACATGTCCTCCACGCCTGAGTCTCATTATTATGATGGCTACAAGTCCTAGCTCCCTGACACACTTTACTTTGGCCCGGCCGCTGGAATAGGGCTTGAAAGTGATGACGTCAAAAACGGCCTGGGAGTAGTAAATTGACATCAGATTTCTATTTTGGATCCACTAAGGTGTGACTTTGCTATTGCCTCAGTATGTGGGTGCATAGCAACCCACTCATGTCGTATGCAGGTGCAACTTTTACTTCGCCACCAGTTGTCACCCCGCCCCCACTAGCCAAATCAGTCAGTTTCACTGGCAACATCACCTTGCTGTGAGTGAGACCGCTTGAAATGTGCTTGGATCCATACAAAAACTGGATCCAGGTGGATCCAGTTTTCGAATTTTTCAAATTGTTGCTATGCCATTGCTATGGAGTGACGTAGCACTTTCAAGCCCCCCCGTGAAAAAAGTCACCGTGACCCCAGCCGGCCCATGGTGGTACTAGTAGTAGTACAGTGTGTAATGGGGGAGTGTATTCTCTCCCAGGAAGGCCGCACAACCCTGAGGGGGGCCCCACTAGTGCACTGGCGATGCCACCATTTGTCTACACCAGCGGCATCCTCCCACTTGTGAGAGCAGTGGCAACCCCGGACACCTGCCAGCTGGGTTCGCGGGCACTGATTCATCTGCCGGTGGTCGTCTTGTACGGTAATGCGATCGTGGTGGGACAAGCCGCGTGTAGGCTGAATCATGGTCCCGTCCTACGGATATCAATTGCTAGTCTGTGCTTTTGTCTGAGCCACATTATGGCGATGCAGTAATATGCCTCTTTGCTGATCACGTGACTGGCAACCAGCCGGGTAACGCCTGACGGCAACCGCTTCCTGGCCGGTCCACTATTTGCACGCCCGACTACATCCAGGAGTACATCCAGGAGAAGGCCAGCGAATGGTGCAAGCAGATTGAGACACTCTCATCTTTCGCTCGTACCCATCGGCATCCCCAGGCAGCGTCTTGCTTTTGTTTGTGCTCTCTCATGCCGCTGGACCGTGATTCCTGCGTCGTGTTCTAGAGGATGCATCCAGTGGTCTTGACATGTTGGAACACGCCATTGTTACCAAGCTGCTGCCAGCCCTGCCGGAGAAGAGGTCCGGCAGTCTGGAGCTGCGACGACTGTTTCAAGCGGCTTTCCCTTGCCGGGATGGTGGTCTGTGCCGTGTCGTCAATCTAACATCTCTGACAACCCAATACATCTCATCCTGCAGCGAAAGCGTCACAGAGTGAAGATTACCGCCAGAAAGCCAAGGCCAACATCTGTGGCGTCACAGCCGATGCATCGCCCGTTTTACAGCACACTATCCAGTTGGCAAGTGAACCTGGCACCTCCAGCTGGCTTACTGGTACATGTCATCACGCCTATCCCGTCATGAGTTTGTGCTGTCCAAAAGCGAGTTCCGTGATGCTGGCCCTTTGTTTGGCATTGCGCTATGGCTGGCAGCCGGTGTTTACCTTCATCCTGTGTCTGTGGAGCCAGCTTCACAGTAGCCCTGAGGCTGAGGCTGACGTGCAGCACCGGAGTTTTCCCATCACTTAGCCCGAGGTGCGGGACATCACTGCCGCTCCCTATTGAAACGTGCCTCGAATAATGTCGCCATCGGAGCCACACTTGCAACCGCTACCCGTGTGGTGAGCAGCTCCGCCACAAGACTGCCTCCACAGAGGACCAGGCTCGACTTGATGTTCAAGCGGCAGCAAGTCGTGTTTGGGGAGGTCGATTTGAGAGAGTTTTTCAACCCGGCCTTTGCTCCCTCAAATCGATCCTCTTCCATCACCTCCTGTTACCAACATGAACGGGAAAAAGCGAAGGCGGTATGAACAGCGAGTCAAGGAAGTCGAACGCGGAAACTGTTGTCCCTGTAGTGGATCCCCGATTCCCCAGCGCTCAGCCTTCAACGACGCTCGTACAAGTACGTACAAGACTTTGTAGGCCCTGCACTGCACTGCCGGTTCGGCTTTGTAGTGCTGGGGCCAAGTCCGAAAAAGTCGCTTTATTGAGGAGTTGCATTTGACACCTCGTCCAGGAAAGATTTGACTTCAAATTCGGAGAGGCGGACCAACTATAGGAATTTTGGAGAAAACTAGAAGTTCCCAATGTTGTCCGTTTGGAAGTTATGAGCTATTTCCAAATTGCTTAGGTTACTATGGTAACCTGTGTGCAATTAGCCGTTTCTGAGGCAAAGCCGATACAATTTTGGAGAAAAAAGTTACCTTGTTGGAAGGCGAGCTCTTTCCAAGACTGTTATTGAAAACCAGAAGTTTATAGGACTGTCGGCTTCCTTGTCACAGGGATTTCTCGAATTTCTACGGTCACCGCGGTAACGTGTATGCAATTAGCCACTCCTAAGCCAAAATCAGTGCATGTTCTCCCCTGTAGGCAGGTGGAAAGCAGAGAATAGTTATAATAATGTGGCTTAGAGGTCTATTGGGCTGTTGCAAGCCTGGTTTGTAGAGACTGGACCCCTCTCTCCTGATTTAGTGCCGGGATCCACACAAAAGGATCAAGAGGATTTAGGCAGGACTGACATCCAAGAACGAGCAAGGAAACACAACTGATAGCAAAAACAAAAACAAGAAGACTAAAACAATTCCCTAGCATATATTAGAACTGGGGCTAGCCCCCATTATAGTTCAAATGGTCGCAAGACCAGGGCTATGCCAACCGTGGAGGTTGTAGTAAGGTCATAAGGAGCACTGTTTTCGAACACAGTCTCAGTGCATCCTCCACCTACACGTACATTTGTAGCTTGTAACATGCTGGCAACCAAACTACATTGTATGTTTTGTCATGTACATGTACATGACTACACGTATTTTTTCACATCCAAAGAATCATCTTGCCCGTAAAAGAGGCCAGTACTGTAAGGTGTACATGTACATTGTACAATGTACTGAACTGAAGTACATGTCCAGGACACTGTTGTGGTATTCATTATTGTTATTGTTGTTGTTACTGGTGTGCCATTTAAATTACATGTATACATGTACTTCATGCACATGTATAGTCGTTCAACCAAACACACCAAGTTCCCTTCTCATATCACACGGAGATGCCAGGACTTGGAAGACGAGAGAGATCGGAGTATGCAAACTGCTCCATGGCAGGGCAGAAACCTCACTATTGTCACTAAGAACTCCACAACCTGCCGATCAACAATTTTCTCCAATACGTTGACAATTGGCAAGAGATATGGCTTGTAGGAGTTGAGAGTAGTCAGTATTATTATGGCCATAACTGTCTCCACATTTACATGTACATGATTGTATACAGGTGAAACCATCCAGGGTGTTCGATGTACATAGAATAATCTGTGGCATCAGGTACTGTACTGTATTTGCATCACTTGTAGCCGAGTTGGATGGTGAACAACTGCTGCACACGTACATGTACATGTATCTGTGAGTGCTGGAAATGATGCCACGTGTACTGGTACAGGTACTAGCAAGAGTTATAACCCCCCCCCCCCCCGATTATACACTCTTGGTACTAGGTGTAGAATTCATTATTTCATAGTGGCTCGGCTAGATAGCAGGAGAGGTCACTGCCCCATGGGCCATGGGGTCAGTCCGGGACTGTTTTGAAACTGTTGCTTGATCAGAGGGATGTGACCAGACCTTCCTGTGTAAATGCTTGCTGTGAGTTGCTGAAGGATGACGGTGACATGAGCACGGAATATGTGGCGGAGTTTGTTGCATGTTGCGGTTAGGGCAGTTGTTTGTCTATTAGCCATCTCGTTGATCAACATTGTCCTTCCAGGTCTTGGCGTAGGCCCCGCCCCGGTCTACATGTACATGTACATGACTGTATTTCATGGGCAATGTACTTCCTAAACATGTACATGTACATGTCGATTGGACAGCCTGCATGACATTGTTCCATAAAAAGAAAATGTGAATTGGGTGGAAAGTACTAGTAGTGGATCATGGTGACCAATCCTGTCAACATAGCACACCGCTGTCTGGGTACTACATGTCCATGTACATGTATTATGTGAAGGAAGGGAGGAAACAAGTGCCAGGTCAATGCAATCCCGGTAGTGTTAGAGGGGAGAGGAGCCCAGTGTCTACAAACCAGGCATGAACAAGCCCAATAGACCTCTGAGCCACAATATTATAACTATTCTCTGCTTTCCACCTGCCTACAGGGGAGAAAATGCACTGATTTTTGGCTTAGGAGTGGCTAATTGCATACACGTTACCACGGTAACCGTAGAAATTCGAGAAATTCCTGTGACAAGGAAGCCGACAGTCCTATAAACTTCTGGTTTTCGATAATAGTCTTGGAAAGAGCTCGCCTTCCAACAAGGTAACTTTTTTCTCCAAAATTGTACCGGCTTTGCCTCAGGAACGGCTAATTGCACACAAGTTACCATAGTAACCTAAGCAATTTGGAAATAGCTCATAACTTCCAAACGGACAA